GTAAGATAAGGACAGAAGAGCGCGCTCTCCTGTGTGTGTGTGTGTGTGTGTGTGTGTGTGTGTGTGTGTGTGTGTGTGTGTGTGTGTGTGTGTCACATCTAATGTTTTGAATCACATTCACACAAAATGGTGCCTGTACATATTGAGGCCTCGCGCAGGGTTCTTCTTCTTGTCCTCTCCAGATGGTGGCGGGTGTGTTGCCCCCATGTCTCTCGTCTGCTCGTTCACTGTCCTTTCTCACTGCATCATGTACACTTGGACCGGTTAATAAAGTACTGACTCCTTTTAAGTCTTCTTTTTGTCTTTCTCCGACACATTTCCTTCATCAATTATCCTGAGTCAACGTCAACAGCAAAATTGGAATCCAAAATTTTCCATCAGGCTGTTCGATGCACAAATGGGTCGCGATCAGCATACGATGCCTTTGAGACCATAGTGGAAAAATCCAACCCGATTAGGCTGTGACCCCTGTTTATGCTCATGGGCGCGCATTGACATAGAACATATTGCAGAGAATTTTTTTTTTACCTCAAAATTGACCCTTATTTGGGTCCTTACTTACAATTTCACAATTGTCCATAAATAACACAAGATGGTGGCAAAGCACTACTTTTGCCCCTATGAAATTCCTCAACTCACTTCAACATAGTTCCTTGACATAAATTCGCCATAAGATGGCACCACAGCTCTAATTTTGAGTAAACAACGCTTACTTCACCTCAAAATAATTACTTGGCACAAAAATGGCACGTAAGTAACATTTCAATTGCATTGGCCTGAGCACAAAAAAAAACAGCCATTCGGTGAGTTTTTGAATGAAGTATACTTTACCCTCTTGCTGTTTTCAACCGATCTGGATTTTCTGGATGACAAAATTGACTTTGACATGTTGTTTCTCAACAGGTTTGTTATAACGGAATAGTTTGCAGTGAGAATTTTTTTTTTAACGTATGATCACAATGATGAATGACTGTGTACGAATTGCAGCAGAACATTTAAAGTTGCCCTCTCACTGTGAAGATAATCACACCTGACGTCACACGTGCTCCTGACATTTCAGTAAAAGCACGGAAATGGAACTTGTGCACCATCGCTGCGCTCGCATGTCTCCACTTTTAATCTTGACTCAAGCCTTCCATTTGGATGATGTAACGAGCTACGCAGACTGCGGTGTGCTAAAACTCAAACCTCAATGGTTCTTTAATCCGCAAAGCTGTTTGTAAAACAACCGGAAGGGGTCAGTTATAATTAAAAGATTCTTAATTGGGAGTCTAGCTTTGAATTAATGAGACAGTCGGTTTAGGGACTTTGAAGGCTAGAGTACCAAATAGGCGGTTCTGCAAATGACGGCAAACGTAATGTTTTACAATTTCACATTTAGTATCAAACAATTACACTGCCGTCATGATGATTATTGAACAATATGCTTAGTATTATGCTTATTTTTGTAGTATTTTATTGTTTTGAGGTGTTTGTGTTCCCACTCAGATATATGTACATATAATTAGAAATATCAATTATGCAGTCTAAGATGGAATAATTGAACAATGTACTTAATTTTGTGGTAGTTTGTAGTAACGAATTACTTATTAAATATTTTTGTACCATGGCAAAATAAAAACAAAAGCATTACAGTTTGATATTTGGATTTTTGTCATTGAATGTGCACCCGATATTATAGAGTTAGAGAAAAATGAACTGGCAACATAGATTAACTCTCAAATTCGATACAAATATTGTAATTAAGAGTGTTCATTTGCAGGAAACCTTCTCCAATTTTTCTGCTGTGATTATTGGTATATAATTTATTTATTTTTTTAACCATGTATTGAAAAAGCGTAAAAAAAAACCACCGTCTTAAGTAAATGCAAGCATGTACAATTTATTTTTCTCCCCCTCACACTTGTTGACTCTATTGCACTTCCCAAGAGATAATGTGGTCCTTCATTTTCTTCCTTGGTTGCATTATGACCACATGGTTGCTCACATCCATATATTTAGTTGAGCCCGTGCTGGTAACAACTAAGTTGAGTAGTGCTTGTTAAAGGACGAGCCAGTGACGTCAGTAAAGACCCAACAGATTCTCCACCAACACTTGTTATCTTCACACTTTTCATGGTAAGTGATCAATTTGCGTTTGGTGGTGTTATGCTCTAAAAGGCCAATCAATGGTCGGTTGCCCTGTGGTGCTCAACGGCCCCTGCAGATGACCCCGCTGGCGGCCACGGTGTTGGTGCTGAGCGGCGTGTGTGCGGTGCCTCTGTACGGCCAGGTGGACCCTCGGCAGGTGGACCCCCTGACGGTGCCCCGTGCAGACCCGCAGTGCTGGGACTCGGCGTCGGCTCGTCTCCTGGACATGCGCTCGCCCAGGGTGGCCGACACTGTGGTCGCCTTCTGGGACCTGATGGAGGTGCTACGGGCGTCGGACAACGGCAAGCACAAGACCCTCTTCTGGGACCTGGCGCGGGTCTTCTGGGAAATCTACCTGGACTGCGTCATGTCCAGGAGCCACGGCCTCGGACGGAGACACGTCACCAGCGTGCGCTCCCTCAGCACGGACAGTGAGTACACGTCGTATCAGTGTCGCAGTCGTTAGTTAGAACATGTTTTAACAAACAGAAATCCTCAACTTGTTTCATTCGTATTTCTTTTATTCAACATCAAAAAATACACGCCATTTAATGTGGCTTTTGTTGAACTTTTGGAGTCCGTCTTTTAACACGTCTCATAACGAGCGATAAATACGTCGTCATTAAAATGGTACAGTTACAATAGTCATACTTTCAAATAATAACAGTAGCGCTCAGTTTGTATTTTTATTCATCTCATGTATATTTTTTACCGTGATGACACTGTATTTTATTTACTTTAATACACTACAACCACAATAGTGAGCAAATTGTTGAATGATTACCTTTCTGACAATATGTAATTTCGTTTAACAGCAGCTTCCAGTCTTTAGTCTGTTGTGGCATTTCCACTAAAAATATACCAATTGAAAAAAAGAATGCACTTTAACTTGACATTGCTTTTGAGCTTGTGTGGGCATAATACATAAAAAACAAAACAAAACAAAAAAAGAATACGATACTGTCTGTCCACTCAGATACTGCACACACTCAAAAATGCTGTAGACTTTGGTTGTTGAATGGGCTGGAAACGCACTGTAGGCTAAAGACTGTGTGTTCAGAAATAGTAACAAAAAATATCCAAGATATCCAGTGTGGTTGATTAGAATGCTGCAGCTGTTTCACTTACTTCAGAATTTATGCACAACTCTTTAATATTTTTAAAATGCAATGAAATATTGAAATATGTTTATTATAATTTTTTTACACTTGTATTTTAAAAGAGTGACTGCATGTGAAATTCAAATTCAATGCATTCTCATAGTCAAGCTGTGAATGCTTCTCCACCATTATGTTACTCGTTCAATATTCTCGGTTATATTGTTGATGCCACTCTTACTTTTCTGTAACCTTTGTGTGTGTGTGTGTGTGTGTGTGTGTGTGTGTGTGTGTGTGTGTGTGTGTGTGTGTGTGTGTGTGTGTGCGTGTGTGTGTGTGTGTGTGGACATCTGTCTGTGCACCTCCAGAGTTGTTCAAGTTCAACAGCTCAGGCGCAAACTGCAGTTTGTGGCTCAGTTTCCGAGTGAGATGCAAAGATCACATCAAAACCACGAAGAGCAAAGCTACTTGAAACACACACCAATAAAACTCCATGACACGACTGACTGACAGTATGTTGCTTGTTTCGTATCTTTGCCTTTTCTATGTCTTGACACTGATCAATAGCAAGTGGAGGCTTCTCATTCATACAGAGCAATTAGCTTGATGATGCCATTTCTGCTGAGTTGTATCGCTCACTTTTTTTCCTCTTCCTCCAACTAAAAAGGTTTTAGTGTGTGTGTTGAAAGACACATCAGAGCATAACGACTATTAAAACGTGTCTGTGATGAAACAAAATGTTTTAACAAACATAAGGGAGTCACATATTAAAATCATGTCACACATGGAGACACGAGCAAGGAAGAATGGGTAAAAATTTCAGTCTCCAGTAGCAAATGATGTTTCGATAAACTATTAACTGAGGTGAATGTGGGGGTGGGGAATATTTTTGCATGCCCTACTTTTCAACATTGAGCGTGAACCCCAACACGAGCATAGCTACCATGACGAAAGCTGGAAAAATAATGTTGGAGCTTCAACACATTTGAAGACATTACCAGAAGACCAGATTCCTAAATTGCCAATTTTTTGATGGAAACGGGGATTGGGACTCTTTACTGATGCTATTTGTATGTCAAGCCAGGAAATACAAGTGGATGTGCTTAGAACGACTGAAAAAGCTTTATGAACGTTTCAGAGGAGCTGCAGTGCAGTATGTCTCCTCACTACCAGAGCACATAAAGGAAGATTACGTTATTCTGGTAGAGCACCTCAGTCAACGCTTTGAGAAAACAGATCTCCATGATTGGTAGTTACCTGAGCCCTGAGCAACTGTGATTTCATTTTCAGTTGACCAAAATGACGACCCACTGAGATAGATAAAAATGGGTGGATTTTGCTGCTTATTTTTTATTCCACGAATTCAATATGAATCAAAATGCAGTGTTGAGATTAATGGGGCCGCACATAACTTGTTGACTTCTTCTTGAACACTTCAGGAGCCAGTTTTTCATTTAAAATAATCAGTTTTGATATTTCAAAATGTTGTAGCTTGAAAATAGTTAGAGATACTGTAAAAGCATATTGCAAATGTTGCTTGTTTCAATGTTGCTACTCTGGCGATGAAAGGGTTAAGTCGACTTTTGGATACCTACTTTTATTTTATATGAATTTTTTAATGTATTAATTTTTTTAAATTAAGTTAATAAACCGTTGTCAAAACCGTTGTATGTTAACTAAAAGTCAAAATTGTTCTTTCTTAAAATGCTTCTTACTTTTGTAATTACATTGCAGTAGTCTGTACTTTGTACTTTTACAATGTAGGATTTGAATCAGTAAGTCTACATTTCCCTTTTTTTAAATTTTGCCATCCCTGCATAATTTTCATTTGTCAAACCGATGCCGAAAACTGAAATCCTCCACGAATTGCTTTTTACTACTTTTTCTGTAACCTGCGCAGAGGAAGCGCTCACCAACTGCAACCAAACCGACGTCACGCCCGGTGACCCCACGCACCCGGATGTTGTTCATCCACAGCGGTGGGTGTCGTCAACTAATGCGAACACAATGAAGACTTTTTAGCATATACGTTCCAAGTTCATCTTTTTAAATGTCCAGATAAACATGCCTTCATAGATATTGATAATTATTCACCAAATACCCAGCTAACAATAACGCTTTGAGAAGACAAAAACGCGAACATGTCTCAGGAAATGTCCCAGACTGTGATCACATCCACCGATTTGAGGTTAGTCCAAACCCCCCGCCCGACATTACAACTTCATGTTGTCAAAATATTGACATTGATATGTTGGGATACGACGATGATGAGTTGGTGAAACCTTTACGTCAGATGACAAAAATAGCGCCAACATTCTTAATATATTAATCCAGTTTATGATGGGCAATGTTCCCGATAATCTTCAGGGTTGCTTCGAACCAGTTTTAGCGATATCGTGAAGTGTCGTTATCGACCAATCGGGACGTTGCGTGGATAAAGTGAAAGTTAAAATGGCTAACGTAGCTTGAAAAGTGGCAGTACGGAAGGGTCTCCTCGGTTTACGACGGCACTTCGAGGTTACGAACGGCGCGGCAAATTAGGCGACACTCGCTGACAACCGTAGTGACTGTTATTTTTTTCTTATTCTGAATTTCATTTCATTGTTCTATATTGATGGCCAAAAAGTGTTCACCACTTTACCGCTGTTGCATTGGTATAGATTCACGATATTTTACATCGCGTGCCCATTTCGTACACAATCGGATGTACGTCATGAACCGAGGACACTTTATTGCGATGGCGTCACAGAAGATCTAAACTGGGATATTGGCGTAAAAAAAACCCAAATAAAAAAAGGATATCGGCGTTGGCATTTATAAAGTGTAACATCGATTTTCAATGTTCCGTGACATTACTATTAAAACGTAACATTTAGATTTAATGATAGCATTAAAGAGTAAAAGCCCAAAATGGACCGCATAGGAAAAATACATTCCCAAGTGTCAGTGATAACGTTTTAACTCTAATGTGTGACCTTGCACAGCCCAAATAAAGATGCAGTCCCGAGGGCCAACACCCCCGGCAAGACCCCAATCCAGATGCTGCATGAGTATGGTGCCAAGCATGGCAAAATCCCCGCTTATGTGCTGGAAAAAGCTAAAGGAGAGGCCCACCAGCCAAGCTTCGTGTTCAGTTTGACTGTCGGAGACGTCTGCTGCAAAGGTTGCCCTTTGTGTGTGCTTGGTTTATATCAAACAGACCCCTATTAGCTTTATTTTAAACAGACACCCATTGTATTTTGACAATGAATGTATCTGATGTGGTTTCCAGGTGAAGGTCCCAGTAAAAAGGTAGCCAAACACATGGCTGCTGAAGATGCACTGCGCATCCTTCAGGTGGATACGGCAGCCGTGTGAGTACACACAATATGTGGCTGAAGTAATTCAAAAGCAGTTGCTCCTGTAGAAAATAATGGGGAAAGTGCCTGTCGAAAATACGAGTATAATGACGAATCACAAAGGTGTTCATGTCCTTTCTGTAGGAGCCTCCCTGTGAAGTCTGAGAGTATCGGTGTTGCGGCAGAATCAAACGGCCATCCTAACTCTGTGGGCACACTGCAGGTAATGAACTCACTCTGTCCATTACCTGCACTTCACTATTTCAAAATGTTGTGTTTTAAAAACATGTTTGCAACACGCCTCCCACAAAATAGTGGTAACTGTTGATGCTAACAAATAGCATGTCAATGGCGTTTGCACTGTATGTTAGCATTATTAAGCTAGGCTGACTTTCCAAAGGCAAAGCTGTTGCTGACATGCACTTATTCCTTCCCGGTAGGAGCTGGCCTTGCAGAGAGGCTGGCCTCTTCCCAAGTACACGATGCTAATGGAGACCGGTCCACCGCACAGGCGAGAATTCACCATGACATGTGCAATGGAGTCCCTGTCAGAGACGGGTAGGACCACGTTGTTCATGTGAAAGCGTCCATGGTGACTATACATCTTCATAGTTGCTCATCATGGCTCGTCGTTTGACCGAGCAGCTGTCGCAAGCTCCAAAAAAGCGGCGAAGAAGGCAGTTGCCGAGAAGATGGTGGCCAAGCTTCAGAGTCTGTCAGGGTCCTCAGAAATCACATGGGTGCGTCACACATCTAACTTCATGGCAGCTGTAGCTACTTGTGACTTATTTTCTCCGTGACTATCTCACAGACGCCAAAACCGAGGGTGCATTTCGAGAATCTGAAGAACTCGTCGTCCGAGAAGATCTCCTTCCTGAGGAGGAACCCATTGAGCATTCCCAACACGGACTACATTCAGCTGATGGCCGACCTGTCGAAGGAGCAGAATTTTGACATCGCCTACTTGGACATCGGTATGTGTTTGGACAGGATACACAACGTGTATGTGTGTGTGTCCTCACCTCATTTGGCTTCCTCCAAGATTTAATGCAAGATTCAATATTGTCTGGAAGTATGAATCTGAGTGTGAATAGTTTCTCTATGTTTGTCTATGTGTGCTTTTTCTGGTTGGCTGGCGATCAGGGTGTATGTACCCTGCCTCTCCCCCAAAGTCAGCTGTGATGAGCTCCAGCGCACTCGTGACCCTAATGAGTGCAAGCACTTTAGAAAATGGTTGGATGCCTTTCAAAGTGTCAAATTATTCATAAACACTGCCAGACGTGAAGCCTTTGTTTAAACAAAATGAGCTGCCTTATACTGTATTCTCAAACGATGATCAAGTGTACTCTAAAGCAGAGTTCCAGGCATTTACTTAAGGTAAGGCATATGTTAGTGAGGCCTTTACCAGGGGTCCTATCTTTGGTTACCACAGTTGCTACATGCGACATATCAAGGTTACAAATGGGGCGCATTGAACATTTTTGTGTATCCCTTCAACTTAGTTCCTTGACAACAATTACTATTTAACCTTGAGCACCATCTTGTGGCAGCCGTAGTCCTCAACAGTGAGGTAGCACTGAGGTAGCACCAGCAGCACATCATCACCAGGTTACTGTGATGATGTGCTGCTGGTCCTATTCTTTTAAGGATCAGTGTGTTTTGTTTATGTTTCTTTTATTTCAGAAAGAACACAAAAATGCCCATAGCTGAGGCTAAGTTCCACAGGAAAAAAATATATTATGTGAATTTGTGAACTACATATATACGCCGCGTTCCAAGTGTTTATTTTCAGTTTACACTGCCACCATCGGAACAGAACTTGGTTGGAAACAATCACCTCCTACGCACTTGTACGAGTGCACATTAATAATTTCGTTAGCCATTTATTTGATGTAATGCATTATATTTTTTCAAGTGGATGATGGCCACAAAAAAAAAAAAAATCCACTTAAATTTTTTTCATGTTGAAGAGAAAATGTCTTCGATTACAACAAAGCTGTTTTGGACGTTGTCTTGGTCAGAGATTTTTTTGCACCATTTTAAATGATTTAAGTAGAAACAGGAAAGGGACCAACCCAGTAGTTTCCATGGCAACTGAGCTGCCTGATTCAGCTGCAAACGGCGTTCTCAGGACCTGTGGCTGTGCTTTGCAGATGAGTTGACGACTAATGGGCAGTACCAGTGCCTGGTAGAGCTGTCCACGTCCCCCGTCACCGTGTGCCACGGCACGGGCATCTCCCGCAGCAACGCGTACAACGCCGCCGCACACAGCGCTCTCCAGTACATCAAGATCATGGTCTCCATCAAGTAAAACCCACAACCTGCACTGCAAGGTATATTTTAACACACGAAACACAACCAACTGGATGGACACCATCTACGGTCATGATTTAATTTTTTTGTACATATTTGTGGCTGAAAATGAATTGAGTGGAACTGATTTAATGGACTGATCCAGTTCTCCCACAGTACTTTTTATCGTGGCCTAAAAACAGCCGATACAGTACCAAGTTATTGTAAATAAATATAAAAATGCTTGAAACATGTTTAAAAGTTTTGTAGTTTATGCAAACAAACCTCGCTGGTCGCTCATGAGATGCAATGCTACCATGCTTCCTTTTGCTCCATTGAGAAGGACGAGAAAAAAAAAAAGTATGTGCACTGTACCAAAGTCAGCATAGTATGTTCGGGAGATGTGTCCACGTACTATGAGAGCTCGCTCCCTGAAACAATCACACATGTGAATATGACGTGCTCCTTTTGAGTCGTTTGCCTGTGGCAATTCTGAGCTAATGTCCAAGCTTTCCATTAAATTTCCTGAGACTGTCGCCCTTTCCAACATGGCCGCCACAGAGCCACGTCTGTTAGCCTGCTGTAATATGTACACTATATCTGTGATATGTAATAGTGGCACAACCCATAAATACATGGAACAAGAGTAGTCAATTCTGAAACTAACAACCTTTGACAACTACTGTACGAAGGGGCTTTTGGAGTGCCGTGAACATTCTTTACTCCCTGTTCATTCCAGAGTCTTTTGGTTCAGTCTAGTTTCTAGAGTACTTGTCAAAGATTCAATGTGTGCGTGTGTGTGCTGACAAAATGTTTACCCCACGCTCCACTGCAACCATGTGTATCGGGTCAGAAAATAAAAGCACTTTCTCATCCAGTAATTCTCAAGTCACTATGAGATTGTTTTGTTGTTTTTGCATGCACGTACACACACACACACACACACATACACACACACACACATACACACACACACACACAACACACACACACACACACACACACTGAACCACACACCGAAGGTCCGGTTTTATTAATCCAAGCACTATGTAGCAGCAGTGTACAGTGTTGATGGAACGATATGTACTTTAGTTTCAATTGCACTTTTTAAAGAAGGTACCATCAGGGTCCCGAGCGGACGTGGTCTGGTCCATGACAAGAACAGAACCTTACTGTGAGGCATCTGCAACAATCATTGGCAGGCTACACATGCAGGTGGAACAATAGTCGGAGCCCCCCGCCCCCCTTTTTTTTCTTTTAAAGGAACATCCCGTCTGTCCGTTCTATTTTCCGCTTGTGCTGCTGCCTGGCAGCAGTGCAGTTTCCCTCTCCAACGTGTGCGCGCGCACACACACGCGCACACACACACACACACACACACACACACACACACACACACACACACACACACACACACACACACACACCATTGAGGGGAGTCCACACTCATGTAGAATGAGCACGTCTTTTTGTATGAATGACTGTCCTGCACTTGGCTGTTGACCAGTCCAGGGTGTACCCCACCTCTTGCCCAAAGTCAGCTGAGATCGGTTCCAGCTCACCTGTGACCCTAATGCTACAGAAAATGGATAGATGGATGGACCTGTTTTCAGGTATCCAGATGTGGTGTATTTACAGTTACTTCAGGCGGCATGTTGTACGGTAGCATAGCAAAGAGCTTCGTTGACGGCTTGTGTGCGTACATCTACTGTCTGACGTGTTTGGCAAGAACACAGGTTGTCCCTTTGGCTTTATAATCACTAAGCAGATGCAGATGGGTGAGAGTGGGACAACTTCTCATTTCCAGCAGTGTGTGTGTGTGTGTGTGTGTGTGTGTGTGTGTGTGTGTGTGTGTGTGTGTGTGTGTGTGTGTGTGATTCTTGTATGCGTTAAGGCACAGCAAGTGAAATTGAATACTTGTTGTGGAGATATGATAAGCAAAAGTGAAGATTCACTCTAAATTTGTTTTGGCTGTCATCAATAGTGTTAAAAGAAACTGGCCATTAATAGAGTCGTTGTAGCTGTATCCGTTTTTGTGTTTAATTACTAATCAGGAAATGAAACTTGATGAGCGGAAGTGGTATTTTCCTTGAATGAGCAGCAGGTGGCTCTGCTGTCTCAAGGTTGACTAAGTAGCTGCCTGAACATGATGTACTGTACACTTAAATGACAAAGTATTTTTATTTTTTTTGTCAAATGTGAGCCAGGGCCTCTCGCAGTTCCATCACTAAAGCACTTTTTGGGGGTGGCAGTGCTCCAGATTTAGCCACATTTTCACTGTGGGGGGCAACAACCGCACGTCTCAGTTCTTTTGTCGGTGTGTTGATTCGTGGTTAGCAGAAGAAAACCAACACACATTGGATGGCTAGAGTAAAATAAATAAAGCCACTTGTCTTTTAGGTTTGAAAAATTGTATATCTTTTTTGTGTTTGGCATTTTAGTGTTTGGATTTGCCCCATTTTAATTGATTGATTTTAGGAGGGAAATGACAAAATTAATATCTACAATCAATAAATTAACCTATGATTTGGCATTGACTAAATACATTATTTACACTTAACCGAGTTTGGGGAGGGAGTCAAAATGAATATAGTCAATCAATCAGCAAGAATGATTATTAAAAAAAAAAAAAAGATGACTGAATACATCGAAAGTACCTAATTAAAAATAAATAAATAGCCAATATGACAGGAGTTTACATAATGCTGCATAAAATGCTCGACAGGTCACAATTTGCCTGACCCTGGGTTAGGGGCTCTCCCTGCAGCGTAGCGAAGGAAGCTCACCATTATGTATGGACGGAGTGGCTTGTGCGCAGGTAGTTAAAAATGAGACAATAGGGCCAGGGAGTGGGTGGCTGGGCGGGGGGGTAGCAAGCTGAGAGTGAAGAGACACGCTGAGAGTGAAGAGACACTGAACTGTCGACCATTGTCTGTCTCTTGGTTTTCAGCTGAACGTGATCATAAATATGCCGGGTGATGTTATCGGATGTGCGCCCTCAGCTGTGTGGTTTGACGAGTTGTTCCCCCATCACAAACTGTATTAAAAGGCAAAAAATAAATCCAATCTGCTGAGATATTTTATAAAAATACCCATTTTTCTGCAACATTAAGGATGTATTAAATATGGCCGGATGCCAGTGAAAGCTCTCTAAGCATGCATGTGGTCGTAGCTAAGTATGGGCGTCCGCGTTTAAGGCCGACTCGGGAGTCGTTAAGAGTAGCTGAGAAAAGATGTATGCGACCTTCGCAAGCATGATGAAGGTGACCCTCCTTGTGAGAGGTTTCCTCCAACGGTGGCGCCGCAGAACCCCCACCAGGGCTCGCTCACGTCCAAGAGCGCGTTTTAAGTGTTTCTCCTCGCATCTCAAGTGTCCAGTCAAATGCCGAATGCGAAGAGCGGAGCGAGCGGACGTGTGCTACCACAAGCTCACTGTCGGTTCCATGTTAATAAAGCCGGGGTTTTTCCGCAGCTCCCAGTACAGGTTGTTGGAGACCCATCGTTCCCTGTGATTAGCGTCAACCACTTTCCTGTAACAAAAAGAGTGCAGTGAAGGACCGTAAAATTTAATCTAGGGTGAACAAAGAGTTTGAATGAAGGGCAAAGGACGTCGAGGGCTGTAATGGATGGGTTACTGGAGGATTGCAAAGTGAAAAAGAGAGTCTGAGGGAAGAAATGGTGAGGGATGAAGCAAGGAAGAAATGAAATCGGAAAGAAGAAAGAAAAGTACAAAAGAGGTCTGGCGATATAGGAAGGATGTAAGGATTTGCCGGAAGAATGGGAATAAACAGGCAAGGTTTCGTAAGGCTTGTATGATCCGCTGAATGAGTGTCGTTATTGTCTTACTTGAAGAAGCGGGGCTCCTGTTTTACATTATTCTCTTCATTCCACTTTCTCCTTGTCCTCTGCAGGTCTTCGATTCGCTGCTTCTCGGAGGCGGCCAGCTCCAAATTGCCCTCCTCTAGGTGCCTGGTGTGAGGCAGAGTACACGTTGATTTACTAACGTTGCTGTCCAGCATGCGGGATTTGTGTTTGACGGCGGTCGCGTCACCTTTGATCGGGTCTGAACCGTGCGTCCGTTCGCGGTAGGACATCTTTTAGCTCGGGACAAAGCTCGTTGAGTTCAGTGGCAAACCTGGTGAAGCCATAGTATAGCTCGTAGTCTGTGGGCATGGAGCCTAGCAAGAAAAAAAAAAAAAACGACATAGATGTATAGTGGGATGGGGACAGCGCCCTGCTGCAAAGAAGAGAATTTGTAAGTAATGGCCATTAAACATTACAGTTGTTCAAAAACTGTAAGCTATTGAACACAGATTGAACCGAGGATATAATCGCGTTTGCGGTGCGCATTTCATATCGGGTAAGTCATCGTAGCCATTTGGTTTTACTCCACATAAGCAAGTAAAAAGTTGCCCTCCAGTGCAGGCCCACCAAGATCGCCGTCATAATTTTTGATGCGATTCTCTGTTCCTTTTTATGTAACATAACAACCAGCGAAACAAAAAAGCAGACACCCTCGCTATCTTACTCACTCTGCCATGCAAGTAGAGTTGCAAGTAGAGGTCTCTGAATTTCCTTTCTTTTGACGATGGTCCAAGCGGGACTAAACTTTTCTCTCTTGATAAACACTAGGTTTCTCCACTAAATAAAGAGGAACATTGCGGCCGCCTTGTAACATCTTCCTCCCACTCTGTAATTCCATTAGGATCGGAAAATTGCTTTCCATCTGGCAATGTTAGTTTTATAATGTAATTTTCACGCCCCATCACAGTTTGTCGACTTGTGTGTCCATAATGTACTCCGCCGTCCTTTCCGCACGAGCAGTGCATGTGCATCCTGATTATGTCATTGTTGTTTACGAATTGGAAAATGATCGATTCCATCGAGTAGAGAGCATATTTTCCCCATCCCCCAAAAAACAGGAGACAGAACCCCCCACACCCCCAAAAAAATCACACCAAACCACAAATATGTGGGTGTCCACTGTCTGTATGTGCTGCTGTTTCATGTAAAAATAGCAGTTGAGTGACGTTTTTTTAATTACCGAAAGATCTATGCTAATTTTCATTAGCTCATCGATGGTATTTTGCAGGATATGTTAGCATTAAGCTATCAAACAAAATGACATGGTTTGGTTGAGCATTTAATTATACAATGTTAAATCATCTTGTTTTATGTGAGTGGCTCAACAGCTTGAGGCAAGCACTTTCCCTGAGGAATACCGCAAATGTGATTCAGGTTACATGTGTTAATCCTATCGTCTATCGCAGATGTTCATCTATTACGGTTGGGTCCGGAAGGTATCCCCGCCATGAACGAGGGTTGACGGCATCCCAAATGTAAACATCTGAAGTGACAATCCAGCGTTCTACCTGGCCTCCAGATACATTTGGCGGAAGGTGGCACGCCACAATAAAGCCCCTCGTGCCATTTTCCAAAAAGCCTGTGGATCACTTTCCCTTCTTGGTCCATCACAAATCCTTGGATCTCGTTCACATTAGAGCTCCAGTAGTTCCCCTAAAAGAACGACATGGGTCGTCACATGGAGTCCACACGTGTCCGAGCCCCAATTAAACCTGCGGTGACCTTGACGAAGGTGAGTTTGCAGAGGCAAGCGCTGCTTTTTGTGTTTCTGACGGTGATCTCGCCATAGTGTTCGATCCACCGGCGGCCACTGAGGATGTTGTGGACACACGTGGTGACTTTGTTCCATTCGTAGTGATCTCCAAACCTGAACACATCATCAACAAACAGTCTGGACATGTCTCTCCAGGTGGGAAGGTAAGAAAAACGCAACGTTGTTTTTGTAAAGCCAATTTAATCGTCACATACCTCACAGTCACAAAACAAGACCACTCGGAGTGGCCCATTACGCTCGGGTGTTGATCGAATCTACATGAGTCATTTGAGTTTCACTTCGTGAATTAATTGACAGAAATAAATGAAATGTGGCATCTTTAAAACGAGTGAACGCAAGATTTAAAGAATCACAGTCTTTACAGATAATTAAAGCTTTCATTTAAAAGACATTTTCACGGGTGATTATTTTTTTTTTTTGTTGCTGTTTCAGTCAGATGCGTTCTCTTTATTATACGGCAAGAACACACGAACATGGAAGTGGTTTGATCAAGTTGTGTGTTCAGTTCAATAGCTCCACATATTCAGTATTCATGCATTAATTATATTCAGGGGTAAAAATAGTTGCGCCGCTGGGACTTTATTACTCCCACAACGGCGCATTACATATTTGTGCGTGTGTGAAGCTGGTAAAAGACTCAAAACCACCAAGAGTGACTGAGCACAGCTTAAGATATTGGTATATGTTTACAAGTGAAATTTAACCGACGCACATACGGTCGCCTACTTCGGAACTCATCCCAAATATTCGGCAAAAATAGCGAGAATGGGGTGCGTCACTACCTGGGAATCATCAGGCTCACTGTCCCGACTGGCAAGATCTCCATTGATTTTCCCCAGAATTTGTTTTTCCATCTGACGTCTATGGAAAGAAAAATAGCAATCGCTGTCTTATTGAAATGATGTTGATATCCCAAGTGTAACTTCCATTATTATCGCATCCATCCCGAATCCCCCACTAATCGGGAGCTGCTAGCGTACCTTGCCAAAAGGTGAAATTCTTGGACTCGCAGTGGCAGGCAGAGATGGGAGGGTGGTAGTTGAGATCCCAAGTGCAACTTCCATTATTATCGCATCCATCCCAAATCCCCCACTAATCGGAGCTGCTTGCGTACCTTGCCAAAAGGTGAAATTCTTGGACTCGCAGTGGCAGGCAGAAATAGGAGGGTGGTGGCTCACCTTGAGAGAACAACACAATGACAGTCTACTTCATCGTCTTTCATTCCACCAAACTGGCACCCAAAAAAATGGAGGAGGAAGGCAGAAGGTAAACTGTCATGTCACAGGTGGTGTGCATATCGACCATTTGTGAAGCTTTGTGAACGTCATGACAAAATCCATATCAATTTGACTCCGATACTGAAATTTTCATCACGCTTATTTAAGACGTGCTTAAGGGTGTTCATATTCGAAATTTAATTTTAAACACTTCACACTTGTTTCTCAATTCACATTTCCCCACTGCAATTAATGGAGGTGGCATTCAGCCTTTCTGCCTCCCCAAAAATAAGCCAACAAACATTTTTGGAAGGTGTTTTTAAGAAGGAAAATAGCACTCTCGTACTTTGGACTTCATAAAAACTTTATAAAAACATAGAACATTCACACAATTAACTACACTGTAAAGGTTCTAAAAAGTTTGGGCATCATGATTAATTCATTGTGGCTCTTTCTGGTGTTAGCAATTTGGCCATATGGGGGCAGTATAACAGACATAATGCAGACACCCATGAAGAGTTTCACAGCTGCTGATGGCGGCTCAGTAAGCTGCAGTAATATTGGTCGTTTTTCGCAGATGATATGTGAGCATTGTTATATTGTCTATCTACGTGTGTTGCTCCACCTTTTGTGTTTAAATATTGTTGCGTTAAGCGTTACATTATCACAGAGATGCTCTTCGTTAGCTTGTCAATGGTGTTTCCGTGATGTGCGAGCATGAAGCTCGTGGGCTTTATGGCAAAGTTGTGTGTTTGATTCTCTTTGTTTTATATTTAGTTTGACAGTAAACTTTGATTGTGAGAGAAAGTGAAAGAACTTGGGAAGCCTCTTTTTCAAAGAATTGTTCGCTAGCTTCCAAATGCCTGCTTGTTGTGAAGTGAGTTGACTCAGTCACGACACAGCGCTCATATTTAATTTTTTGCTTGTTTGTCAAAGCCAAAAACTGGCCCAGCAACTGCTCCTTCGCCGGGTCCCTCGTTTAACAAGGCACCACTCTTTTCAATGTTGTGAGCGAGTGTGTGAGTGATTCCCATAAGAAACGTTGCGCAAGCATGACTGTACCTGTTCCGAGAAAAAACAGAAGCCCTTGTCTTCTCTTATACATTCGTACGTCTCTCCGAGGAGTGGGTTGAATGGCTTACTTCCTGCTCGGTAGTAGGTGGATGAGTAGCCTGAGACAGCGAAGGCGGCAACCAGAACCTGGCACAAGCCAAACAAACACCGCTGACATCAACCTAAAGGGACCAACATTCTTCATCAATAAGATATGAAGCACAGAAGCATCCTGTCGCCCCGGCAGGGTGGAACAGCGGTACAGCGGCTTGCACCGTAGCCCCCACGGGTTCAAAACCGGCTGGGGTCTTTAGGTGTGGATGCGGGTGGTTGTTTAAAGGTGACAGACTCGTAGGGCATACTGTTTCAGGGTTTCTGCGGGTCTATAAAAAGCATTCAAAGTCATTAAATGGATTGTGTGATAATTAAGGCCCTAAATGGCATTTAAAAAGTATGAAATATCATGTCCAGAAATATTAACTCAATTGACACAGCATTGTTAGGCTGCAATTTCCTAGTTAGCACTAAGCTAGCTTGCTCCAGCTTTTAAAGTGTGCCTTCGCGTGTGAGTATACATGGCAGTTTTAGTTTTAAGTGGCACTGAAAACGACGTTAAAAAGTATGAAATGAAATTTGATCAAACCTGCTGAAACCTTGAGTTTGATATGGCCTGAAAATAAAGTGAACAGTATAACAAAATAAATTCAAACCTCTCTCCTGTTTTTGATGGAAACTTAGGCCCCACTACACCACTGAATTTTAAAGTGTCGATCATTAAATGGGTACTCGGAGAGCTGGAAAAGAAATAAAGAGGTGGTATTTGAGAGGTCTACCATGCGTTCAAAGGGATCCTCCGTCTCAGCGGCCTTGTCCAGCAGCTCGCTGTACTCCAGTTCTTCACACATGCGCTGCAGCGTGTTGAGAGGCTCGTTGAGCTCCACGGGCATGGACACTTTGGACAGGTCCTTGCCGATGTTGTTTCGCAAGATGTTCCACAGGTTGATGTTGCCGGTGTCGGGGCAGGGCGCCGGCAGGCAGATGCGCCGCCCGTTACGGAAGGCGCAGCCAGCAAAGTCTCCGTTGGCCACTGAGAAGAAACAAAAAACACTAAATGTCGATTTTATTTAATGTGATATTTACAGGCGACAGGATCTAAGAAGGGCCCCCCCCCCCAATCAGAGGTGAGCGGTCAGACAACTTCCGCACTCAAATCCACAGAGCCGCCGAGCGGGAACTGAACGCAAGCAGCCTGCACAGAAGTCGAACAAGTGAACCACTGCACTGTCAAGGACACGGTAAAAATCAAATCACAATTCCATTCAATTTGCTATGAGTGTGTCGGAACAAGCTGTAATTTCAACCAAAGTTTCATCTGGATCTGATCCAGACTGCGTTTACATTTAACATGGACAATTCCATTTAGAAAATATTACCTCAGTAACAATATTATAGAAGTTAAATACTTTATTTTCAGGTGTTCAATGAATCTATATAGCTCAAGATATACTTTGAATTGAACTACTCAAATAAATAAACTTTTCAACGATACTATTTATTGAGCTGTATTTATTGAGGGTTATATTAGTTTTGAATTTTTGATTATAGTTCATTTTTATTTTGTTTTGAACTTGTTTTTTTGAATTCCGTTAATTTTAATTAGTTTTTTAATTTTTATTATTCTTACGAAAATATTTTGCTTGTTCAATTTTTATTAGTTTGAGTAATAGGTTTTTTATGCGATATTTGCAGAGTGCAAGATGATAATTTTAAAAAAAAACTTGAGACCGTACCTTCTTCCATATGGGAGTAGGTTAATACAGAAATAAATCCATTTAAAATACTGAAAACTCATGTATTCATTGACAAAGATGAAAGCATACATAGTTTTAATACATCAACTCAAAATGGAGTTTTTTGTTACGGCTGTTATTATTTTTTAAAAACACTCATTTTTATTGAATGAACAACAATGCTTTTCGATTTTAGTTTATTTCGTTCATTTTCATGAACTATAATAACTCTGGCATCTGTATGGAGAATGTCAAATCTCATCATATCAGGGTGTAACTTTTGCTGAATCTGCAAATTTTTCACTTGACTCCTGCTACTCTGTCACTCAACACGAGTGGTGTTTTATTTACTTTAAAGCCTACCTTTGAAGTAATAAGGCCAGATCTGTTAGTTTTCCACACGAGACTTGAGGAGTTCCCTTTGACGAGAGATAATGTGTAACTAAAGATGTGTGGGATGTGACAGAGATGAAGGCGGGAGATTCCATCCCTCCCCACACAGGCTGCTCATAAAGCCGAAGAAAAAGATCTTGGCACAGAGCAGCAGAGTAAAGTCGCTGGCTTCAGCCACAATGACAAACGCGCTCGCCAAGTGCCTATACCAGCACCGAGTGTGTCAGTGTTTTGCTTCCTCAGAGTAGCATCCACTGTGGCGCCATTGCACTCTTAAAACTAGAAAAATGCTTCCTTTACAAAGTCAGTGGCGGCTCCGAACGAGGTGGACCTACTTTGTCTGGAGACGTTATCGGTCACGCTGGCGTTGTCCTCTGAGATGTTATCGCTCACGTCGCTGACGTATGACTCATCGTCTGAGCCCTATTCGGGGAACAGGCACAGGGGGCAGATTTAGGATTGAGACAGTCGCAAATTGTTAGGCAGATGGAAAGAAGCTGCCATGCAACATCTGCCCCGCTGCAGCTATCCCGCAGAGAGACACTGCGGCACATTTTACATGAAAGCAGTCATGTCTGTATTAGCCCGTGTTGCAGTCTCCTTGTGCTTTGGGTCTGAATGGGCCTGCCATCAGGCTACGGTGTGAGAAATGTCCTCTGGGAGTGATCCTTCACATGGCTCAATGCATGCCTGGAGAGCAACTCTCTTTAATAGCCCCTCAGAGGCCTACAGAGAGTTAGCAGGCAGAAACGATGGTTTCAAGTGGCCAAATTGTTTTTTTTTTTTGTTTTTTTTAAACAAGGCTGGAAGCTTTGTTCTAATTAAAAATAAAGAAATAAAATACCAAATTGAAGCCGAACGAGGGATGAGGTGTTTGCCCTAATTAACAAGAGCCCCTCTAAGTGCCTGACTATGATTGAGTTTCCGTTAAATCGGCCATTTTAACCTCGCAGGCTGCTCTCATTAGTTGCTAACTAACCCAGGGCCGACATTATAGTCCTCGCAGTCCACCCCCACGACGCAAATTACCTCATTCTCAGATGAGCTGGCTGATAGGAGCACTTCCTGGGCATCAAAGAACTCAGAGACCGATTCCGACATGGAGAGTCGGCTCTCATTAGAGGCCTGCTGAGTCAGCGGGATCCCCATCTGCTCTACAACCTGCCAGTCAACACATGCAAACATGTTACACGCTCGTGTATGAGAACTGGAATTGAAAGACATCCGAGTTCATTTTATGGCAAAGTTCCATCCATTTCTAATTTGTCATTTTCCCATAACATTGATGTCCTGATCCGCATTGAATAATGATGCCTTAAAACATAACTGTGAGCCTCCATCAATCTTTGAGGCCATTGATCAATAAGGCAGGAAAGCAATAATACAACCACCGGGCCGCCCTGTTGTTTTATCAATAAGGGGGCTTTAAATTAGCACTGCCAGTGCCATAATGAACACAGTCACCTACCTCATCAGGAGTGGAAATGATATTCACGCTGACGACTTGCTCCGACAGGACAGACTCCGAGTGGATGCGGTTCAGTCGGGATCGTAGCTCTGCGTTTTGGGACACCGCCTTGGGCAATAAGGAAATGGGTTGTTGTCATGTTCATTTACCAAAAGACCAATTGAGCCCAAAATATTTTTAACTGGCATACAGTTATGCTTAAGGTTTTATATACCCCTGGCAAAAGTTGTGAAATCAAATATGGTTGACCATGTGGAAACGTATTCTTTTGTTTTGGGATAGCGGTCAGGGGAAGCTTTTTGTTGTTACAAGAGTGTGTATGGTCTTTTGAAATGATAATAACAACTGAAATTACCCAAATGGCCTGATCAGAAATTTACATAGCATTGAATGTTGCGCCTGGTGATATACACACACAGTTTTGGTTTTTTTTTGGTGAATGGTATGTTTCCACACTCTTGCCTTGTTTGACTATATTTAGTGTCTGTGTATGATTAGTCAATGAGTTTCTCAGCTCTCGTTCACCCAGGGCTGCTCTGACTTGGACGCAAACTGAGCAGTGGCAAAAAAAAAAATTTTTAAAAAATCCTATGAAGTGATGGGTGATGATCATCTCCCCCCCCCCCCACACACACACACACACAAGGCTTTTGCCAAGAAATGTGACCTCTAGCTTTTGGACAATGTTGTCGCATAAGCTTGTCACTATGAAGAGGGCAGAACCATTTTACCACTGTGATGGAAACAGTCGATGAGGAGCAGTGCAATTATAGCAAGTCGCTGGGCCAGAGAAGACAGACCAAGGAGCAGCGTTAATGAAGTCCACGGCACATTTCGTTTTCTCGCCAATTAGTTTCAAGAAAAGACAATTGGACGTCAACGCTCTCTCATATCACTTTATGCTGTGAGTGCGGCTCGTTGAATCTGCTGTACAATATTTCAGAACACTGTAGAGGCAGTGTAGTCGGAGTTATTAACTAGTCGGCACTTTCCTCAAATTTTCTTGGTAACCAGTGTCATAAGAAACAGAAAAGAATCCGACAGACACATTTATTAGGAGTGAAGGACGGGGCTCATTACCTGTGATAGAGACTTCCTGAGGGAGTTGATCTGAGCCGATTGGTCGGACTGGTCCTGGTCTGACAGAATCTGCTTGATCTTTTCTTTCTCTATGGCTACTGTGTTGAAGGCTGACTTGAGCAGAGCGTGGACTGCGTACAGATAGAATGACACAAGAACGACAATGATCACTTATGCAGCATGATTGATTGATTGATTTATTTTAATTACGTCCACGGCTTTGGCTTGGTGCGTAAATGCAATGTAGCGTTCTTAAAACATATTACGTAAGTGTAAGAGTGAAGCGCGATATCAGGTTAGAGACCACGTCGAGTTGTTTGGCACAGAATTTCAAATGCAAATCTCAGAGCCACTGAGTAGCACATCGATGCGATGGGACGTAAAATTGCCTTGTGAGCGTGCAGAGGGATGACAGAGAGGGATGCCGTCGCTGACTATATTATGTAATGGAGCAATGCCTCCGAGCTAGTCAACTGCAGCTGCACGGCATCACACATGTGACATGCTTCACTGTCCACTGCTTGTCTATAAGCGAACCCACATATGCTCTTTAAGCCACCAGCGCATGGAAGACGTTTGCCCAAATATTTTTATTGGAAACACTGCCCGACTTGATGCAACGCAACCTTCTGCTCTAAATAGTAGGAAGAAGCCATAATATTTCGGTGTAAATCTAGTGATGGTGTGGCTGCAACAATTTTTCGACATTTTAAAGGGGGAAGTCAAGTACAAAAAAAATATCTTTATAATAATATATTCTATGCATACCTACTAATATTAATCTTACATTTGTGGAATATGAATTATGTGAAAAAATAATCACCCCTTTTTTCTTTTAAATCCACCTCAGGGTGCAGCCATTTTGCCTTGTACTGCCGCTGGCCGTCGACTGAAAATGACATCACCGTGCCAAAGGGCTCAGCTTGCGAACATCACATGACCAAACCCCCCAAAACAGGTGAGCCATGACGGTTGTTACCTAAGCCCTTCGGCAGCAGAGCGGTGTGTGTGTGTGTGTGTGTGTGTGCGTTTGTGTGTGTGTGTGTGTGTGTGTGAGAGAGACATTCCAAAATCATGTGCATTCAGTGGGGAAAAAAAAGCTACGACAGGAAGAAAACCCATTTTAGTCGACTTTTCAGTGTACTGGTATATGTGCAAATGTTTGGCCATGTATAATATGACATAAGAGTTTCATTCTTCATGGCCAAACATAAACCCGTTTGTTGCTGACGTTGTTGCATGAAAGGGTTAAGTCAGCTGTAACCACATTGCAACAACAGAATTTCAAAACATAAGGTTGGGGCATGGCAACGCTCTTCAGTCACGCTTGCTTTCATGTTTACCTTTTTGGGCAATGGTGCAGAATTCCTCCTGTAGTTTAATGTAGTCACTGGAACACTCGACGCTGTCTGTTAGCCGGGAGGCGGGAGCTTGAAAGTCCCCCATCTCGGCGCAGAGGTTCGGGTTGGATGAGTGGAGGCGGACGGGTGACATGCTGGACGATAGCGGGACCTAAAGAGAGGTGGTGATGCGGGGTGAATCAATCAAAAAGTGCAATCCTGTTGTGAGCCTGTCTTGTTAGTCCGTAAAAGCCAAATGCATAATATTATAGTGCACAATAATATTATGAGAGGCATTCAGCCTCGAGACACTTGCAAATCAAGCATGCCCTTGTCAAAATCTTTTTTTTACTCTTTTATCTGGGCTCTACAGAAGTATTCGTGATACCTTTCTTGAGGTGTGGAAAAAATGTATGAAAGCCAGGTGTTGGTTGGTTGGTTTGTTGTTGTTGTTTTTTTTTTTTTTTCACACAATATGCTCAGCAAAATAAGAGCAAAAATGGGCAAAAAAGAGAACAACACCACGTGACCAATGCTGAGTTTTAAGCTGAAGAGAAACTTAAGTATAGATTAAAAAAATTAAACCTGACAGTGTATAAGTGTGATTTTTATTTCAAATTGGAGCCAGCATTTTTGTTCTAGTGAGGTCTAAGAGTCAGGTCTCTCTTGGTTCGTGACACAAAACAAACAGAAAAGGTACCTGAAGCTGGAATTTTGCATCTTTGCCGACACTTTTTGTCCTCCATCTTCTGTTCATGCGCTTTTCTTTCTTTGTCAATTCTACACAAGCGGTCTAGGTGGCAAACGATGGATCACAGTACGTAACACAACACAGTCACACAAAAAGCAAGTCAACGTCAAGTGACTGTTGTGAAGCTAGAAATCAGACAAGATTCCAAAAAAAATGAGCAGCAAACAAAATTCAGAGGCAAATGGGATGAGTGACGCTAAGCAGTGTGTGTATGTGTGTGTGTGTGGGCGGGGGGGAGGTGAGTGTGTGTGTGTGTGTGTGTGTGTGTGTGTGTGTGTGTGCTGTCTAGACGGCTGAGTGACACTTTAACCTGTGTGTAATGAGGGCATGGTAGAACACTGTTCGATCGACCTGCATATCTGCAAAGTTGGGTGCCGACTGAGTCCTCTGGAGAATCTCCAGATTTTGCAAGAGGCCACTCAGCTCAGTCAGGCTGGACTGGCATCGCGCCAGTTCTGAAACGATTTTGTCATTGAAAGATGCTGAACCTGATCATAGCAAGTCATCTGAGATAATCGTTTGGCACACACGAAATGAGGATAGCTCCAGGACACGTACAAGCTTCCAGCTCAAACAGAGACAACAGAACGCACCCTCTGCGCATTTGTCCATCTCCTCGGATTCTTGTAGCCAGGCAGCCACCTTGCTCTGACCGTTGCTGTAAGAGACGGGCAAGCTGCTGCTGGTGGGGACTGGTGTTTGCCATGGCAACCCGCTGGGTTTGGCGTGCTTTCAAGAGACACAAGGGTTGGTGTCAGAAGTAAACTCTTGACAGAAAAATAAGCCAGAAATAGTAACACGTAAGTCAGAGAAGCAAGCCCCGTCACAAAGAGTCAATATCTGCGAGTAAGTGACGCCCACCCAAAAAGGTTTGTAATTGCCTATAGATACCATAAAATGGCAGCAATGTACTTGTTTTTTTGTTTTACAAAGCCATGGCCTGACTAACTGAAGCTCTTCCCCTCACCTCAACATAGTTCTCAAGCCCTAAGATGGTGCCAAAGGTGGAGTTATTTTAAGCCAATAACCAAAGCCCCCCCACCCCACAAAAAAGAGCTCCAAGGAGCCGCCTCCTTTTTCTCCATTTACAAATGGAGAACCACAACTGATGCAGGGATGACTGTGTAGTCATTATTTTTGGAAAGGTGCTGCTTCTGTCAGATCAGACGGAACTAAAAAAACAAAACAAAACACCCCTTTCCATTTGTCATTGTTTAGTTTTGAAATGAGGCACAGCTGGAACAAAACCATGCATTTGGCTGGCCGGTTTTGCTTTGACAGGAGACTAATTGAGCAGTATCTGAAATTGTCTTTGAAGGGATGAGAAATATGTACCATATTTTCCACACTATAAGGCGCACCTAAAAGCATTCAATTTTCTCAAAAGCCGACAATGTGCCTTCTAATCCCATGCGCTTTATATTCTGATCAATATTCTGATTTCTTGGATGTAGCATTTTAAATGTTCTGTAAGGTACTTTGTTTCAGCTGCACCGGTTGTGAAAGCTCTATATAAATAAAGCTGGATTTTATTGTATTCCTTTTAGTGTAGCTCCATCTAGTGGATGCATAAAGCAACCACAGCCACTATTGTAGATCATATTCCATTCCCCTTTATATGAAAACAGTTTTAAAATAGGCCATTCATTGAAGGTGCGCATTATACTCCTAAGCGCCTAAAAGTACGGAAAATACGGTAATTATGGAAGACGGCAGGAAGGAATGGCGTTCTTAACACTTTTCAGGGAGTTCCTTTCAGGCGGATTCCAACTACGGGATGTAAAGTTCCGCTTCAGACAGTCTAGTCTAAAATCCTGACCCCTTCATTGGAAACACTCTGCAGTGTTTTCATTGATAAAAGCACCAGCTCACAATGCGTCTAGACCCCAGACAGAAAAATGATTCCCTTATCCTAACGCTCAGATCCATTTTGTCTGTCAGGTAGCCATTAGAGCAATGGACTCTAATCGACCACGCATACACAGCCATCAGTCAGCGAACTGATCACTGTGCGGAGATCACAATGACCTTTTAACAAAGAGGCAGACAATTCACGAGACAGAGAGACTTTCCCGCAGCCATTTTCACCAGTTTGTGTCCCGAGTGAAATACCTTGGCGTCGTGTACGACGGTCGAAGCAGCTTGCGGTGACTCTGCAACCGCAGATGAAGGGAACGTCCGCATGGAGGCGTCCCGAGGAGATCGGACGATCTCGTTCTGTCGGTAAAGGCGGTGATGTCGCAGCTTGGACACCCAGGCATCAAAGATGTCTTGGGATTTGACCTATCAAAGTTGAGCGGACGTTTATTAGATCTCGGTCAACCGCTTTGACGGATTCATCAATTCTGAAATGACAATCCTGACTCTTGGCGTTAACCTTGAGGTGATAGATATGCTCCTCGGTATCCAGGTCAATACGACGAGCCTTCTTTTTGATGGACATCACAGAGAGGCCGACGTCGATGCTGCCATGCAGTTTGCCTTTTTGGATCTGAGACACGTGTCTAGTTAGGTTCACGAGTTAATTTATGCGCATGACTTTATTCCATCAATTATTCGATATCAGAGCTTTTTTTTTTTTGGGTTTGTCTTCAACAATGCACTTCTACATTTCTGGTCTTCATTGCTGAGTCATCATTACAATTTTTAGCAAGGCCCTTCGCCATTTTTGGTGTGACATACAAATCTGGCGCAAATGAAACACAGCAACTCTTGCTTGCAAACATTCCAGCTGAATCATTGTTGCCAGGCCAGCCTGCTGGTGCCTGCGGTGGGGGGTTGAGTCAGGGTTACTTACATCAATGGGGGACTTGGAATACTTCAGGATACCATTGTCCAAAACAAAAAATCGCTGCAGAGGAAAACAACAACCCTGTGTTAGTTCATTAAAAAAAAAAAAAAAAACCCTATTGTGAATCCCTCGCGGGAAATCCTGCGTTTGGAGCTGCAATAGATTTAATTGAAATGTGTTGCCTTCAAAACGGTGCATGCTGGTCTAATGGGTCAGGAATTATTTAGGCTTGTCTTAAAAAGTCAACAGGTACTGAAGAGCAACCTTTTGTGAAGAAGCAATTTTATTCTGACTGCAGACGTTAAAGAGCTGCTAGCGGAAACAGCCAAAAAAAAGCTGCCAACGGGGCTCACCTTATGCCAGCCTTTCAGAGGCCATTTCCGCTTCTTCAGCATAAACCCTTCGTGTTTATCCGGCCTCTGGACGTTGCTCTGACCGATTTTCAGCCCCTCGATGATTTCCCAGCTGTCTGTCTCCTGAAAGTGCAACAAAACGATTGCAGTGTCAGAGCTGATCTGCTCATTCCTCCGGAAGGAAAAGAGACAAGAGAGATGTAAAACAGGATGACGCTCAAGCCCGCAGTCTAATGGAGGAAACCCTTCGTTCGACTCTCTTGCGTAATGTTTGTGCTCCCCCGCCTCCCGTCGCATCCCTCGTGTGCTCTGAGTATTTCCCCTCCATTAGCTTCCTCCTCACTGCGCTCTTCTTGCCCTTAGTCTGTAAATCAAAGTGTCGTCTTTGGAGCAAAGAGAATGCAAGGTCACGCCGGGACAGGTGGAACCCCCGCTGGCCAGCGAGAAGGGCATTTAAAGGAGCTGGTCATTATCTAGTCCACTGTGCGATGCGCTCTAAAATGATCAATATGTGAATGCATTACAGAACTCGGAACATGAGGATGTAGCCTCTCTATCTGGCCATGGGGTAAAACTTTTTTATCGCATGCCTTGTGAGTTACATCTGCCCACAAACAGATACCGTAAATGATAACGACAAGTTTTTCCCTTCTATAAGTTTCCCGGCCTTCTGTGGGCACTGTGAGCAGACGCCTCTTCTCGCGCACTGAACAAAGCAAACGCCATTGGATCTCTTTGGAGACGTGCCGGTTGATCATCTGGCCCACACTGAAGGGGGGAAAAACACCAGTCCTGGAATTTTGATGTCATATATCGTGCATAAAGTGCGCTGGTGGGTCGGAAGACTGTTGCACCAAGGTGACCCCTCCAAGAGAGCCCACCCAGAGATGGGCCGGGATGGTTAAAGTTCATGCAAAGGAGCGCAATGGTGGGCACACAAAGGAGATCTGCTCTGTGGTCTTTGAGGTCACGTTACAGGTTCAGACTGTTTCCATGTCAGGACGTCGCTTCTTTGCTTTGCTTTTTCATGCCAGAGCTCTCTTGTCTTTGACCCTGAAAGCATAAATGAATGAGGCCAATTGGATTCCCTGCACCCTGCTCACATTTATTGATCCCGCTGCGGAATAATTTAAAGCCGAGCGAGTGGGAGAGAGAGTCTTCTCTGCGAAGATGTAAAGTAGCTTGTCGACCTCCCCCTTTTTCTTGCACTCGATCACAAGTGAAAGAGAGAGACAGAGAAACAGCATTAAGCACGTGACGTCGGAACTTCCCGACATAATGGCGCAAAATCGGTCTTTTCATTCACAACTTGTAGTGAGCGTTGTGCCCCATTTTTACACCGGCAATGAATCAAATGATTACCGCGACACTCAACTGAACAAGGACAAGCACTCCTCCTGGACATGTTCGGCTAAATCAGCACTATAAATATCAGTGCGGCGTCCCTCTTCTGATGAGTTTCGATTGCACACATCTGCACGCCGAGGAAAATGTCCCGACATCTGAGGGGGTAGTACCAGCGAGCGTTGAGACATTTCAACACTTGACATGATTCAAAATGCAGGGGTTAGATGGAGCCCAAACATTCTGCTCGATGAGTCGCTCATGAGGATTGAAATAAGTAGCAAGACGCATTCCTTCTATTGAAATTGTGACTGCGCAATGTCGTTTTGGTGTCCTTTCGGGAGTATAATGCAGCCTTTATGCATGTCGAAGCAATACAAAAGACGGCAGTTACCCGTCAGGAAATAGGAAAAGAAAGCGGCCGGATACAAAGAAACTGAAATGACTGCCTTTGTGGTTGGACGCTGCCACCGCAGCATGTCTGCCTGCCGGTGGAAGGTTCTGGGCTTGAATCTTGACTCAGGCCCTGCTGTGTGCTTGCGTGACTTTTCTCCGCTTACTTCTGCTTCCGACCCGCTTTCCAAAAACATACTTTAGGTCGACTGAAGACTTGACATAACTGTGAGTGGACCTTGACCAAAGTCAGCTGGGCTAGGCCGAAGCTCACTTACTGTACGACACTAATGAAGACAAGCCAAGACTATTTAATCATCATATTACTGACTTTACATTGGCTTTACAATTACAAAAAGTATAAGTTGTGTGATTCTGCCTTTCAAGAAAATGTCCGGCTATCATTTTTCGACCCAAACCGAGGCCCAGCCGAATGAGAGTCAAGTTTTTCCATGTGTCATCTTGTGTCTCCTCTGTGGGCGTAAAGGGAAGGATCAGAACATACAAAGCACTAAATAGTCCCATCGGCCTCAGCAATGTTCACATGCCATGTTTAGAATTATGGATGCACTGTAATGAAATACTTTTTTTGTTTGTAATTATAAGAGTATGGAATGATGAAATCGGTGGGAGAAATGTACAGAAAAGTCAGAACGTGTTTCTCAATAATCCTCCAAATAACCTCTCTTAATTGATAAACGAACTGTGTCAGGGTGAACGTCCCCTGCACGATAGACCAAGAAGTCATTGTTATCATTACAAAACCAGGAACAAGGGAGAGGAGTAGAACTTTTAATTGCCAGCATGAAGGATTCAACTGTACACTTCCAAACAGGCCCGAACCTCTCATCAAACCGACTCCCTTTCCGCCTTAAAGCACTCCTGTAAGAACGCAAGCTCCTGCGCAGCATAGCGCAATATGCCCACATGACCACAAGAGCACCAAGCCTGCACCAGTCCCTCATAAATGATTCACAACCTGGTGCCGATGGGAAAGTGGTGATGTCGTAGCTTCCACTTGCATTCTGAATTCTACAGTGGCAAAATGAAGCAGTCGGGGAGAATCAACCTGCTTTTTTTTGGTTTGTTTCTTCTTGCGGCACTTCCAAAATATGGTCACGAATGACGGATGTGACCCTTGATACAATCTGAAAAGAATAATAAGAGTTCTTCTTTTGATAGCACAAGCATGAAATGTTTGAAGACTGGTTGAGAATTGTGACAGGTCGATCTCTGCAAATCTACTCTAAAACTATCTCGAACTCGATGAGGTTTCATAATCGATTGGGTTGGATTATCGCTGACATGCACAGGGTGCCCCAATACAAAAACTGCTAACACTAAACTGTCAAATCCTCATAATGACCTCACGTCTGTCCGAATGATAACAGAAGCCAAGTAGAAAACTGTAGAGTGTATATCTCGTAGTGAATTTTGGGATACCCTGCATAATCCCTTCATGAAAATATAATTAAGCTCAAAAGGTATCGCACGCTACCTGCCGGCTATCGCGCTGCGACGAGGAAGAGGATGACGCGCTCTTGCTTTTGGGATACCCTGCATAATCCCTCATTGTGAGCAATTCATGAAAATATAATTAAGCTCGAAAGGTATCGCACGCTACCTGCCGGCTGTCGCGCTGCGACGAGGAAGAGGATGACGCGCTCTTGTGCACCGGTGTGGAGGTCTTGTTGACCGCCGCGCAGCTCCTCTCCTCGGAACTCATGGCGCGGCCGTGGGCGCCTCGCTGCGAGTGTTGGGAGTGCGACATGGTAGAAGGCAGTCGGCTCTGCTTATTAGCTGGTGACTTGCTGATCGATCGTCATCTGAAAGACAAAGGGGTCAGGGAGTGGATACCTTTACTGTCCTGTAAAAAAAAAAAAAAGACTACGCAGTGTATGTTTTGTAGCCACATCTAAATCCCGCCACCCAAATTTTTGCGCACCCTCCCCATCGCTACTATGAGCAAATGGATGGCATGGATGTTCTCTGGCTAATGTGCTTGGCATAAAGTCAAAGCTTATCTTAAGACAGATCGCTCTGACCAACACAGACACAATCAGATGATCAATTTATGTCAATCTCCTGGTTAATCAGATCAGCTAAAACGATCCTAAATCTGTTTGTATAGATGGATACCCCCCCCCACAAAAAAAGCAGAAATCCATGTTCTACTATTCTTCTGTCCATTTATTTGGTTGCTACTAACGTCGGGGGAATGATTATCCAAAGTTTGGTCAGTCTCGCTGTGGCTCTGAGGAAGCTTGCCGCCACGAAGCAAGCGCGGAATTACTTTGGAATGAATGTGAGTGGCGTATGAATTGACTTGGCGTGTGTGACAAGACTGCGATCTTCGCTTGTCTGCTTGAAGTCCCTTTGATGGGATTCCCACTTTTTGAAGGTGTAAAATGAATGATTGTAAAAATTTGGGGGTGGGGGGGATTTTGAGTGGATAAAATCAGTATCATATAATCTAATCGTATTGAGCGTTTGGACATTTGAATGGAAAATCTCTCATTTGCCGAAAACAAGCCGACTGTTTGGCAACGAACGAATCAGTTCTCAGGCTTTGATGTCTGTAAAGCTCTGGGGAGACTCCAGTCCACCGAGCAGCTCGGCGCACCTCAGCATTAGGCACTCAACCGTGCGTTACACTCACACACCAGAATGTATTATTCAAGTCCTTTCACATCGTCATTCTCTCCTCTGTCTTAAACCAACTAAGATGGGGCTAAGACCATTTAATAGAGCCGCAGAAGGAAGCTGAAGCGAGAGCTTTAGCGGGTTATATGGACGGGTTCATTTGTCTTACCTGTAAAATCAAACCGTTTTATTAGTTATTCGGTGGGAAATTAACTGGCGTAGGAGGTTGCGCGAGTTAGAGTACTCCTCGCCGGTGACGTGCGCGCGGCTCATTTACGGGTCACTTGGAAGGAGCGTATTGTTTTTGCGTTCACTTTTTCATGAGTCCAGTACAAGCGATTTATTCAGAATACCGCCCCCGTAACGGAACACGTGCCAGGCATGCAAAGCGTAGGGTTGTAAGGCGGTGTTCTCGTACTGTTTCAGTTCATAACAACATTCTCAGAGCCATATGATGGGAGTCCTTGGCTGGCTGGCTGGGCAGCAATTCCGCTTGGTATGAAGACAGTCGCCATGCAGGACACTTGAGCCCTTGAGCTTAATCTTCTAAATCCAGTCACCGTGATTATGACTCGCTGTGAGCACAGGCGTCACCGCGTAGCTGCAGCTAACCGCAGCACCTATGTGACGAGGAATTTAAAAATTGTGCGAGGCTTGACTTTCATGCTCAATTTGCTCTTTGAAGAAAGGAGACTATACATTGGATATAAAAAGTCGACATGCCCCTGTTCAAATTCCTCAATATGCACTGTTAACACTTCCAACGTTGAGTTCAACACGGCCGTTTGTTACGAGTGCAACAATAACACGTTTAATATAAGCATGTGCCTGTGCATGATGCACGAGGGAAATGTGTCATGTCGGTTGGAAATGAGCCAACCCCCACAGCCTTATTTCCCCATGACCGTTTTTCAGTTAGCTGTTGTGAGTACCGCCGCGTCCGTGAAATGTTGACATCAGCATGAAAGCCCCTTCGTGTCCTTTTCGGTTGTGCTTGTTCAACAAAGTGGGTATTGCGCATCCTACCAAACATTTATGGATTTATAACTTCGGTCAGAAAAAATTCAGAGGAAAAAAAATAAATAAAGTAAAACTTCAAAGCGGGTGTACAATGCTGACAACAGATTGTAGTAATTTAAGGACTGTTATGTCGGAATGCACTGATACTGTACGTCTGCATAGTAGTCGTACACATAAAAATGCACCGATACTACAGCACTGATACTGATTCACCGATCGGACTTATACCTTCATGGTAGGGACCACATCAATTGTTTGTAGACTTTAAGGTGAAAACAGGCGCTGACACGATGAGTCAACTTCAAGTTTTGTGCCCGGTCGTGCTTCTTGGCTCGGGCCAAGTTGGCCGCAGCTTGCCAAAATGTGGCACGTTGAGTAAAGACAAATAAGCCTGACTTCAGTTGTCCTGTCACCGTCGCGAAACAGTCTTGTATTACTTTTAACTCAGTTCGTTTTGTAGTTAGCACGCAATGGTGACATGGCATTCATATACCAACTTATTAACTCATTCAGTACCAGCCAATTCTAGACCCCATTTTTTTTTTTTTTCCCCTAAGTCTTGGAAAAATTGAAAAAAAATAAGTATCTGGGGTTGAACGTGTGGAGTGTGAAAAGATATAAATATGTCTTTGGGAGTGAATGAGTTAATGTCAACCTAACATTATGTTCTTCTTTGTCTCTTATTTCCTCTTGATCTCGTATCTGTGTACTCCTTTTACATAGTGCCCCCTAGTGTTTAGAGTGAGGCACCACATTACTAAAATTCCTTGTTTTTCAGGCTACAATGAACTGAAACGTGTGGAGACTGGGAAAAAAAGAAAACATGCAATTGGATGTTCAACTATTAAAAATAGGAACCTGACAGGTGGTGGCCATTTTTTGTGGAATTTTCTGAAGAGCACTTTGAACATCTCTAAAATCCTCCACGAATCAATTTGTGTACATGAGCTATTCTACTTCTCACATCGCTCTTATTACTGCTCTGTAAGTCGAGTTTTTAGGGCAAGCTTGAAACGTCACACGGAAATTTTGATGCGCCAATTTGGGGGGAATCTTTCTTGATGTGTGTTGCTCGCCAATGGACAAACTACTGTATTGTCTGTTGGAGGACTGCAGTTGATTGTTTATTTTCAAACTCAACTCGTGATCTGGACATCTTTGATCCCGACACTCCCGTACTGGTTGAAAGAGACTCTGAACTCTATTGTCTACAAACAGTGAAGGTCCCCAACCCTTCACTGTTTTTGGACAATAGAGTTTGAGAACAGAGAGAAGGGAGAAATAGAGAGAAAGGGAGCGATGGTGTTATTTGAGAGCAGAAGATTTAGTCTGTTTATCCATTAAGATTATTATGATTAGATATGTTTTATCTTTTGTTTGTGTTCAGTATAATTTATTTACAATATGTTCTATGCGCCCCCCACCCCCACTAGTCCATACAGGGCATTTTGATTAATATTGCGTTTGTGGAATCTGAATGAAGCGGCGACATCCGCCCATATTTGCCCATCTAAGAGGACAGCCATGTTGCCACTTGCCGTCGACTGAAAATGACGTCACAATTTTAAGAATTCATCCAAATTAATTCATTAAACAGAATACTGTGACTCGAGGGGCCGCATGTGAAATATGATTGCCAAAAAAACTTTTGACTTGACTTCCCTACTTATCGTCAGTATTCCAAACGTGATCAATTTCTTTCATTTTGAGGGAAAACGACAGCAGGCTTAGTCAGCAGCAGACCAACAGACTCTCCTGAATAATCTTTGAGCAAGATAAATCCCTCAGGGTCTTCTCCTGGAAAATATGCTATGACCTTATTGGAGAGGCTGCTGAAAAGTCCAAATTGTCCCTGAGGGGAGCATTCCAGAATTTGGATTCAAGCAAGGAAAACCATCCATCCTGATAAGAGTGGCATCACAAGATCCGAGCCACACGGCGAATATTTCATGATTAGCACAAGGCTCACAAGAAAGTCAGACACGACCAATGTCTTCCTGATTTAGTTGCCACCACATTGAAACACATCCACAATATCACAGTAAGCACTCTCCAAAAACCCACCGCAGCCGATCTCCCTGTTGCAATATTAAAGCGCAGCAACACAAACAGACCGGATCTGCGAGGCCAACTGAATTCACTAGTTTTACTGACTAATGATGCACAGGGATCAACAGAGTAACCAGCCAGTAGGTTTCACTCGACAGACATCAGGAGGCTGAGAGGGGGGGAGTCACGTCTCTTTTTTTAGAGAAGCTCATCGTTTTCCTAACTCAGTAACTGGACAGAGCCAGTTTATCCTGGGCTGCATTCATGACATCATCTAGGTAGAGCTGTTTTACTCTGCAATGCTTCTCGGCCACTTGTCTTGCTGGAAAATAGACCGAGTAAGAATCTTAATCCCTAACACGGTAGAGAAAAAAAAATGTACGTTGATGACACCACATGAGGTGTCTTAGGCAGTGAATATGCCAAACTGAGGCAAAAGATAAACACCATTACAGATGAGTCATAGTGCCGTTCTAAAAACAGTCTGGTTATTGTTTTCATTTCGTGGTGATGGGTAAGACGCGCGTGTGGAAAGATTATTCAAACAGGATTCATCAAGAGCACTTTTCGAAAAAAACAATGGTGTGATTCAGTCATGAATATGCAAATAAAAGGTCATTTCTCCACCACATCATTTTTAGCCAATAAACAAAAAAAAAAAACTTGCACAAAGAGCTTCCATTTACAGCACAGTGTCAAAGTCAAGGCCCGGGGGCCAGATCTGGCCCGCCAGATCGTTTTATGTGGCCCGCGAAAGCAAATCAAACATGTCACCTTCCATGATGCTTGCTAAAATCCCAACCAAAATTTAAAATTCTCAAATGTAATAAATAAGAGACATATTCTAAGCATTTTCTTGTAACCAAACCCCTCATTACAGTAACAAACAAAAGTTGAACAAACCGTTATTATTGACTTTTTGAAAACTTGGTTTCAGTCATAATGGCCCTCCAAGGGAAACAGTTACTAAAACGTGTCCCAAGACAAAAATGAGTTTGACACCCCCTGATTTACAGGATCTCTGCTTCTCATTAATTTGTGTTATTTTTATGCCATTTTAAACAACTGCAAAGTCACTCGCCGACCTTGGGCCGCAAAAACTGGCAAATTCATCTCTCCTTTTATTATTTATAATTTTCTCTGTGGTTTTATTGTTCTTGTTTTGATTGTAAAGTGTCCTTGAGTGTTTTGAAAGGCGCTTATAAATGTAATGTATTATTATTATTATTAAATAATGTGGCGCAATCCCATAAAGTGACAGAAGTTGGATAACTTACACTATGGGCAATCCGCCAAACAACCCCCCTCCCCACCCCCTCCAAAACAAAACATGGATGGAATATTAAGAATACACATTGTGCTTTATGGATAAGGCTTCAACAATCACATTAAAAAGGTGGTTGAGACCTGCTGGTTGGCTTTGATTTAAAAAGGTGAATAGGTTACATCACCGAGGCTTCTGTCTGGATGCTGAATTGCCGCTGAACGGCGCACGAAAAGCCAACGTGTGAACGAACAGTCAAAGTAAAGCCATTCAATTTACCACACAACACACTTTGCAGATGCTAGTAAAGTCAGCTAGGTGATGGTCATGTCTGGATGGTCCTCCGCGAATCGCATCCGGATGCGAATACAAAAAAGGATGCTCGAGTCTCGCCGGCTGAGAGGATGGACACAACGCAGCACACTTCATATCAAAGCATTTTGTTGCAGTCTATCAGTTACGTAGCTTAAGTGGTCGTTCTGACGAAGAGAACAGCTTATTGCCTTACCACAGACGCGGTGGTGTAATGACCATGTCTTTACAGTTCTTGGCGCAGGAAACGATCGAGCTGGCTCTCCCCCTGCCTGGTAAGCGGCGATTGACTTCTCCTAGGTAAGCCGTTTGAAGGAAAGTCCACCTCCGATACGTCAATTTCTCGCAGCGGGCATGCTTTGGACGTAGGCCAGATCACAGTGGGGAAGTGGAAAAAAAGTGCTGTGTTTGCCCCTTTCTTCGTATGCGAGTTGTGATGCTCTGCTCGGCTCAACCGCACTCTGCTAGCTCCTCCCTGCAGCAGGATCGCTTTGAGTGGGAACAAAGCAACGGAGTGGATCTTGCGGACACCCGCTGGTCCAAAGCGCGGTTATAGCGTCCGCCAAGACGCAAAATAGAACTCAGAATGGAGGTTAAAACCGTGTATGAAACACAAAAAGCGGTACCTTAAATGCTAACTGTACAACTCCGAAACCATCTTTTCAAACAGGCACTTTGTAAAAGCCTCTTGTGTGCTGATGAGCAAGTTTTGTAAAAAGAGCAAACATTCTCCTTCTAAAAGCAGAAACCTCGAGTGCAGTGTTCTATTTGCGTAAACCCCACAAAGATTATTTGATTTGTTAAGTATTGTTATCCTGTGACAAATGTGAAGAAAAACTGTGAAAATGCTCAAATGTCTGGTAAACGTCTTAACGCCAACTCCATGACGGTTGAGAACCCCCCCCCCTCAAAAATGCCATCAATTTCGTCATCTATATCTGTTTTTTTTAATGACTGCTCTCATTAGGATTGCTAAACGGGTAACAATGATGGTCGGTATTTGTAGTTAATTAGTTAAAGTATTTCATTCATTACACGAGACAATAAGTACATTTCAGCACGACAAGAATCATTACGATTTGAAAACTACAACGAATAGCTAATTGAAATTTTCAACAGACAATAATCTGAAAGCCAACCTTTAATTCTAAAGTAATATGAATGTTGTTAGCTACAGCAAATAAGGCAAAAATAATGATTCCCGAACATAAATTTTGATAACAGGCGCCATGCGTAGAAAAAAAACTGAGTTGAGAATGTATAAACACTCGATAGGCCGTTAATGTTAAGGAACAAGTACATCGCAGTTTGGAGGCATTTTTAGTTGAGCGAAATTTATTAAATTAGCGTTTGTGGCAGAAAATATGAGCCATTATAGAGGCTCAGGTAACATCACAGGGGACCTGGGAAACGGTAATTGCCAAAATGTCGTCTCGAAGTCAACCAATTTTCTTCAAATTTGGTGGAAGCATAGCATGTTAACATCTGTGTTCATTTTGTACATGCTTTGAGTCGAAGCAGGCTGTGGCGTCGAGACAAAAGCAGAGAACAGTGACCACAAAATCAACAAGATCAATGTTGCGTTGATGTGAGGCATCAAAACAAGTTAGCCACTGCAGAACGGATCCAAGAAACCTTCCAAAACGTATATTGAATGTCAACAAAAAGAAGAGAAATAGCTCAAATCCAGTCAATTCCATGTAATGCGTGAATGCACAAGTGACCTTGAGTGACTGTCAGGAAGTTTTAGTGCCCATTAGTAACTCGACACTAGAACATAAGGGCCTGTCAACATGATTTGCTATTAGGATTCACTATAAAAATAAGTCTCTATCCAACATGTCCATGTGGCAGATTTCTCGGGAGGCTTCAAGCAGTCAGCTCATCCCAGGTTTCACAACATATTTTCCTCAAGCACTCGCCACGATTGAACCTGATTGGTTTGCTATTGCAGTACAGTACCTGAAACCAGATAAAATGGGGAAATTTCAAGTGATAGATAGATATTAGTAAAGTGAATTGTTGAGAATTTTGTTTGGATTTGTTGTTACTGTTGTTTAAACATCAATTAACAATAGAGCAGTGAGGAATGAGTTGGCTTGCCCCATTTGGTAATCAAAATGCACGTCTCGTGTAAGACGGGTGACGTAAATGGTCACCTGACTGATGACGTTTCAGTTGGCGTAAATTCACCGGGGAGGAAGAAACCACGTGCGTATCAGTCACCGGCGAGTCTTTGAAGAGGTGAAATCTGACGACTGGAAAGTTATACCTTTGGCAGACTGAAAACCGTTTAAAGGTAAGAGGTGGACAGCTACAGATCTACCATTTTTGTTATGTTACTACCAGTAAAGCTTTTCTGAGGCCCTGGTTCGCCGGAGAGACAAAGTGGTTTCCTTCCTACCGGTCGATTTTGCTTTCTTATCTTAGTAGCATATCTGTACTGTTTGCTAGTTTTCATTTTACGGCAAAGATGAGTCGGTTATCGTTTCACACTCTCTGAACGACTCTATTCCACCGTTAAGACACACAGCTTATCTATTTATCTTAGCTATCACTATCGGGGGAGTTTCTCCAATACATTTTCTCCTATTATTTATTCGAGCGTAAAACTAATGTGGGCTTAACTGATTTCAAACTTTAATGATGAGTTTCAAGTTGCCCACGAAAGGGAGCTTTTGTAATCGCCGGAAAATTGCATAACCTATTAAAGAGCGCCCCCTAACGGTCGAATATTCATAGTAGTGCGCCACAGGAAGTCACTGCATTTTACTGTGCACTTAGTATGTGTTGTAAAGGGCATGATGTCTAAATGTGTGTTATTTTCACAGACAAAATGCCTGGAGACATCAATAAAGGGAAGAAGTCCTTTGTTCAGAAGTGCGCTCAGTGTCACACAGTCGAGAATGGTGGGAAGCACAAGGTTGGCCCAAACCTGTGGGGTCTGTTTGGTCGCAAAACGGGCCAAGCAGAAGGTTACAGCTATACAGACGCCAACAAAAGCAAAGGTAAGAACAGTTTAATGTCTGATAACCGTGATATCAATTTTAAAGAGTACATTTGATGGAGACGTTCTTTTCTTGACTTCCAGGCATTATCTGGGATGAGGACACCCTGAACGTCTATTTGGAGAACCCCAAAAAGTACATTCCCGGAACAAAGATGATCTTTGCTGGCATCAAGAAGAAGAATGAGCGCGCCGACCTTATAGAATATCTTAAATCTGTGACTTCTTAAAGAACTTTACCGTCAAGATGAATTCTCATTTTCTTCTCAACAATGGACAATTTTATCACAGCTGTGCCTCTGTTTTTCATACTGTATGATCCACCTCCTTGGTGAAGTGAATGATAATCTCTTGTTTTATCAGGTTCCTTTTTTACAATGCAGGTGTAACTTATTAAACCACATTGTGTATTCACATTAGAACCCGTGAAAGCTGTCGATTGTGTTTATTCTAGGTTTTTGGAAGGTTCATTTGAACGGCATATAAGACTAACCAAGATCTTACACGGGGAGTGTAATGTCAGGGCATTTTAATTTTTTGCCAAGTAGTAGGCTAATAGCAGTGGGGGTCAGGGATGGCATTCGTGCACAAATTGTCCACCTTTTAATTGTAATCACTTTTCTCCCATTGAATGTGTACACGCTTAACTATCGAGGTATTGAATTCTATTATAAGTAAAAATGGCTTTTGCAGGCTTTTTGTACACTTATTGTGTGTAATGACAAATTCTGTTCAAGTTTACAATATGGATGTCAAAAGTGTGACCATCTCCATTCGACGTAAAGGCAGCAGTTTCCTGTTTGCGTCTTTTCCAAACAACCCCCAAGAAGGCAGGTACAATACCTTGTTATTGATGAGCAACAGAAAAGCCATCGGGTACCGGTGGACTGCCTTTGCGAAAGTTTCTTAATGATATACTTTTTTTCCCAAATAGTTGGCATTACATCTTCAATCAAAATTAACCTTATAAGTGCATCTAAATAAATCTGATTAATGTCATCAGTTCACTTCAAAAAGTGTAATTCATACTTGTTTGCTACATAGAAATGTTTTAGTCGTTGGTCCTCGAAAATGGCGTTTTCTGTATTGGACGATTATGAACAACTTGCATTTATCTCTAGCCATTTTCAAGCTACAACCTTTTGAAATATCAAAAGTGAATATTTTATTGGTCGTGATGCTGTTACTTTTTTTAGGGGGTACTTAGTGTACAAATGTTTGAGAACAACTGCTTGTTCGGCTTTTAATAATAGATGGCAGTTGGTGGAGAATAGCACCCTCTAGTGTTCATTCAAAGCAACTGCATGGTCAAGAAGCCAGCATTCTTCCACTTATGAAATGCCTTTGCATAACTAACACCTATTATGAGGCACGTATATCAACATGCATTTTCTCACATAATGGATTGGATTGTAATTGCAGTCATCGTCATGCGGGCTTTTTCCTGAATTCGAATGAATGTTTTATAGTCTAATAGATAAAGTACAGTAAGGGCTAAAGACATGTGTTTTCATACTCTGCAGGCATTTTGGAGCGTTTTTGGGGAGAGAGCGAGCCGCTGACATGTCCACGGGCATCGGAAGCTGGGTCGAGCCTGGGAGCCTGCAAGCTCAGCTTCATGACGAAGCCCACGTCAGCGGGCAGAGCCAACCACAGGCAACACAGTCAATTGCACACAACAGCACACACGCACCGCACCGATGCTCGCTTGTGGATCTCTGATGTTTTTCCACCACTGCTTGTTTCTCGTGCTCCGTCCTCTTTCTTCAGCGCGGGCACCCCTTCATTGAGCAGTGCGGAGGAACTTGGAGGAGGTAAAATGTTTTTAAAAGAAGGGTATCCGCGGAGTTGGAAGCTGGAGATGAGATGCTGGCTCAATGGGTGTTTCCAGCCTGACGCCTCTTTGGGATTCCCGGGGATTCTCTAACCTGGACCTTCAACCCAGCCTCATAGATGATCTTTCCCCGTGCGACTTCGTGGCTTTGGTTCGCCGAGGAGCATCTGGAGCATCCGGGGACCAGGTATGGCAGTGGCCAATATGGTGTGTTTCTCTGACGTGGAAACTTTCCTGGACTCGCACCCCGAGTTATTCGAGGACTACTTGAACCGAAAGGGCACTTATGGCATGGTGGAGAAGTGGCTGAAGAGCCACCAGGCGGCCAAGTCGGGTCCGACGGTCGCGACCCCGGCCGAGCCGAGGGACGAGAAGGGCGCCGCGCTGAGGGACAGCTGGGCGAGCAAATGCGACGGCTTGCAGCGGAGAGCCTCGCAGAAGGAGCTGCGCAAAACTTTCGCACGCTCCAAAGCCGTCAATGTCAACCGAACCTACGACGAGCAAGTGAACTCGCGGGCTCAGGAGCCGCTGAGCAGCATGCGCCGGAGAGCCCTGCTGAGGAAGGCGAGCTCGCTGCCCCCGACCACCGCGCACATCTTGAGCGCGCTGCTCGAGTCCAGAGTCAACATCCCGCAGTACCCGTCCACGGCCGTGGATTTCAAATATTACCTCAAGGAAAACAACGAGAGAGAGTTCTTCCTCGAGCTCGTCAAAGACATCTCCAACGACTTGGACCTGACGAGCCTCAGCTACAAGATCCTGGTGTTCGTGTGCATCATGGTGGACGCGGACCGGTGCTCGCTGTTCCTCGTGGAGGGCACCGGGAACAAGAAGACGCTCGTATCCAAGTTCTTCGACGTGCACGCGGGCACCACCGTGCTCCCCTCCATGAACTCGGACGAAGTGCAGGTGCCGTGGGGCAAAGGGATCATCGGCTACGTGGCCGAGCACGGGGAGACGGTCAACATTCCGGACGCCTACCAGGTGACCCCCCCCCCCCCGATGATGATGATGATGATGATGATGATGATAACAATCACAGCTTTCACTGTCACTCGAGTGACATCGAATGGGACAGTGTATAAAGTTAATTTAATCTTAATTTCAGAAAATTGCCACCAAAATGTATGTGGACTCTACCTATGCCCATTTCAATCTCTGAAAATAGAATTATTGCCTCAATGTTTTTTTTTAATTTTATGGGCGTCAAGCCATAGATGCTCATTAGAAAAAAAGACAGAACGTTGCTTAATGTCAGAAAACTAGGATCACTTATAACCAAAATGAATGTGAACATCTGTACTTGTGCCTATTTTAACCTAAAAAAATACAAGCAAAATCCCGACAATATTTTTTTTTAATTTATGAACATGTCTCGTGAGATTTTTCAAACTTCACTGATCTAAAGCATGCATGATAATGGCCCTCGAGTACCAGAGCTTGGCACCTTGTTTTATGAAGTTAAGTCAATAGGCGCACCATAATATTTGTGTCAATGTGCCTTGAAGGGGTGTGGCCTCATGTCATTTCTACTAGAAAGCAAAGTCAGGAAAAGCCTACTAGAACAGCTGAAATCTGGAATTACTCAAATACTCTAAATGGTGGCAGGTATGTGCTGACTCCCGTTTCACATCGGCAATGTTGGGCCAACGGCAAAGAATGAACCCCCGCGAAGACGGAAAAGATCCGAACAGTAAAAGTCTTTCTTCACACAAAAATAGCTTAACTCCAAAGCAATACAAAATGCACACAAAAACACTTGCGCAACCACATTATCTAATTGTTTAGTTTTAATTGTCTTCGTGAAATGATGGTGAGGGCGATCACTTTCGTTGAAATTATTTTAGTTTCTTTTGTTTTAAAATGTCATGAAAACCTGCTGTTTGAATTTGAACAGGGGTGTGTGGACTTTTTATATCCCCTGTATATGCATACCATATCCCTTAAAGGAATTGGATGTGACAGAGCCTAATCCCCAATAATAGGCATACTTATCCCACATCGTTTTTATTTGACCCTTTTTCCACTCCACTAAAAATACATCAGTTAGACTTCAGTCAGATCTTTCATATGAAATGTGTAAACATTGCCAAACTGCAGTACATCACAAAAACCCGCCACATTAAAAAGCATTCCCTCCTCCCCCGCCCCCGAATATAAACAGCTTAAATCCACTTTAGTTCACTTCAGAGCTTTATTGTCCCTCAGGAGGATATTTGTTCCGCAGTCGAAAATACAACAAAATTATAAGACATATACATACATTACGTAAGCATGGCAGCATACAGTCAACTTTATTGGTAAACATTCCAAAACACAGTTATTAATTTTAAAAAATGATTAAAGGCATGACCGTTTAGAACTAATGAGCAATGCCAATAAATTGTCAGAACATGAGAGAAAAGTCCTGCTAAGTAGTACAGTACAATTTTCCTTTCGTGTCACGTAGGGAAGCAGAACGCTAAAATAGCATTTAATCCGGACAAAACGTTCTAAACTTTGTGTTCGTCATGCGTTGTCCTTGTCTGTGGGTTTGGCAGGATCGTCGCTTCAGTGATGAAATTGACAAGCTGACGGGGTACAAGACCAAGTCGCTCTTGTGCATGCCCATTCGCAACAGCGACGGCGAGATCATCGGAGTGGCTCAGGCCATCAACAAGACCTCGAGTGTGGAGATCTTCACTGAAGATGATGAAAAGGTAGCGTCTTCATTACGGCGGGGAGCGTGCGCCACTGTTGTCACGTTGACATTTGCAGACCATCTCAATACTGTATTGTTCCGAGACGGTGAGTGTATCTCAAATAATCTCTCCCCATTGAAATATGGGGAAAAGCAATTAATCCGTTCCAGCCAGTTTCTTTTTTCCCACTAGAAACATTTCACTCGAAAGTTTTGTTCTAAAACCACACAGTAATAATATGTGCTCTTCACGTAAGATGCAAATACAAAAATTTGTTTGGTTATGTTTTTTACTTGTTGTTTGGACCCCGTGCTTGATGACATCGCATCTATTATTTCAATAATTCACACACTCGCTCGTCAAACATGGCGAATATTTGCTCCGATGCTTAGTGCCTCGGTGTGTTCAACAGTTCCTGCCAAAAAGCTGCAGAAAATGTCCCTCAATTGGTGTCTTTATGGGTTTTTTTTTTTTTTTTTTACTTTGCCCGTGTGCTCAGTGTTCCACTTTAGTTTGGTATTAGCGTCTATGGTGCTTAGCGGCTGGCAGTTAGGCTGGCTCTGGGGCATTTTCCTGGCAAAAACTGTGCAAGTGAGATGAGAAGCGGGGTGAAAATGGAACGGAGTAGCTTTGTTGCCGCTTGATATGAATTACAATGTTGACTGCATTTTATTTTACGGCAATTGTGCTACGTACAAGGAAAACTGCAGTGGGTTCGCTGTCTGTTGTGCTTTTTTATTTTTCCATTTCAAATATCTGTTCCAGTGGTCAAGTCCAGCAGAGACAACAAATGGGCGAGCCAGGAGACACGGCAAGAGATTGAAATGATCATTTGGATTTATTTTCATTTTCTTGCCCATCGCCGGCATAATTTCTTGCAAGGCAAATTTGCATAGTAAAATCGTACTCGCTTTGCTGTATAGTTTCTTCTGCAACAAAAAAAAAAAAATCCACAACAAACCCCCCATCTAATATGCATTGCCATTCATGTCGCCTTTGAGAATTTCCTCAGTCTTGATTCAGGCAAGTCCCGTCCAACCAAAAACAAATGTTCTCAATATGGGTCAAATTTTCTTTTGAGTTAGAAAAGCCCAACACCCAACACAACATGAAACATATTGTCTTCTCGGTGCTATGCTTTAAGCGACTTTGCCAATGCATTAACAACACACTAATGCTGGCTAGAGATGAATTAGTAATGAATGCTAATGGTAACGTGAAGACACAACACAGTAAACCGCCGTTGTCTGGCGTCGCTGCCGCTCTCCGTAATAAGAAAATGTATTTTCGCTCCGCAAAGTCTTCAGACAATGCCACAATATTGGATGTCATTACAAAGATTTCAGATTGTCTTCATTAAACATTTTGTCGCGTGGTGGAAACCTTATAGGCTAGCTAAACACGCGTCGGTTGGCTTTAATCCCACGCTGCTTTAATTGTGTCGTGATGATCCTCTGGAGGGCGGGAAGGCCTTTGGGGAGCTTTAATAATGACTCAGTCGACGTCTAATTGTGTTATCTTTTATAAAGAACTCTAGTTGTTGTCTTATGTGCATAAACTTTCTTCACTGCGTCAATGGCTAGCTTACACGTTAGCTTTGACATGTTTTGTCTCCGTAAGCCGCAATGACCGGATAGCAACTTCGCAATTTGAATCCTTTCATGCACCCTGGAACCTGATAACATGATAAGATGTCCACTGTAGTAACCGCTGTCCCTCAAAGGGTTAAAATCATCCAGTATGGAAATCAGCTAAAAGTGTTGAAGAACAAGTGAACCGGGTAAAGGTCTTTGTGTCACGAACAGCAGTGCCGTTGAAGTGGAGTGGCTGCTCTTGAAACCACATCGGTTGGGATCAAGTACATTATTTTAAGGACAGGAAAGGAGAAGGACGCTCAATTAAGTCAAGACTGCACTATTTGTACTGTAAGAACAGAAGAAGCACTCTGTGTTCTCTGCTCTGTGATTCCTCTGTGATAATGCCGCGTTACCTCAAAGTCAATAACGGTGCTGCACTGCGGTTGCCTCGCTTCCCTCGGCACCAACGTGGCTAACAACCAACCCGACTCAGCCATCTGTGGTTTCGAAAGAAAGGTCATATCTCGTTCTGAGTATCAACGTTCGTACTCTCGAAAAGAGAGAAACTGTAGATCAGTGGTCCCCAACCCCCGGTCCGTGGGTCATTTGGTACCGGGCCACACAGGATAATGAACTTACATTAATTCCGTTTTATTTATTTCGGAAGCTCAAATTGGTTTTATTTTGAAAAAAAAAATACCGGATTCTCTGTTACATGACAATATGTCACTCTTGACGCAGGTCAAGGCGCGCTTCTCGGTCACGTGACAGGTTACTGCTAAAATGAAACCCAGGAGCTCGCAAAATGAGTAAAAAACAAACATTTTGGGGAAGGGTAAAAGGACTAGCCAGGAGACAGAAGAGAAGCCGAAGAATTTCAAGAAATTGAAGGCTACATTTAATAGACAGTATCAGGAGTCCTACTTCAAATACGGATTTATCCCAATGGGAGATTCCCACGCACCAAGTCCACTGCAAAATATGCAGTGATGGTGAGTCGTATTTTTCATGCACTTTGTATTTGCGGTGTATCTTATTTTGAAGGCATGTTTTAACATTACCATAGTGACCAGAGAGCGTTGCAGTCACATAGGATGTTCCTCGTGTCATGATTTGCGTTTATTATTTTACGAAAATACCAGTTTTCATGCAGGTCATATCATATTATTTTGCTGTATTTATCCGTCACACCTTAAAGGCCGCTCCCTGAAAATATTGTCTGACATTAAACCCGTCCGTGGAGCAAAAATAGGTTGGGGACCGCTGCCGTAGATCCCGTCGTGTTTGCAAAACATCCACGAAAACAATCATGAACAGCCTTCACCTTCCCTCGTGCGTGGTGGTTGTAGCTTAGTCAAAAACCACCTGCTCCAATTTGCTTTCAAAAATTAAGCGTGGAGAAATGAAAAGCGGACTTTGTAAATTCTCACAGCCGGCCTCGCATAAAACGGCAGCCATAGACCACCGAGTCATTGCGCGGAGAGTAAGTGACAGTCTCGTAGGAGCCGGCCTTTGTTATTAAACCACTCTTTTACCGCTGGTCAGTCTCTAGGCAAGAACCTCTGTTTGTAATGCAACCTTGTCTAATGGCCTGCCCAACGGAATGTAATTAGCAAGCGCGCTGCTTTTCTTGCGTTTGCCTGTTAGTCGCACAGACAAATCCATGGCCAGATCCCCAAAGTCCTCCTCACTAATGAATCTTTCTCTGCTCGGCCTGATGACTGCTGCCGTTCCGGAAGATCATTATTACCGAATTCCAGAGGACAGCTGAGATAGCGTAATGGATCAGCTCGGCATCCGTCTGTTGAAAGACAAAAAAAAAAGCGAGCAAAGTGCTTCAGGGTGTAAAATGATTTGAACCAAGCCTCAAGTGAAACCAAACGAACAACAACATGCTGAGAAATGCTGTCGAGTCGTTTCATTTGGACCAATCGTGTTCATATGCCGCAGGCCAGAGCGCCAGTCAAACACGCGATGTCAATACCAGTTGTAATTGTCATAGATCACATAGCCAACGAAAATGCATCCAGTCATCGATTTTATACTGCTGAACTCGGTCAGGGTCTCGGGTGACCTCGAACCTTTTTCACCTGACTTGGGCGAAAGGTGGAGAGCACCCTGGACTGGTAAATATTACAGATAGACTTGTGGAGGACTGAAGTCTTCATTAAAATGAAGAATAGGTCACATCTCAGCAGCTGCAGCCATGTAGCATGACATTCATGTATAGTTGCGCCTTCCTCACCTTCAGGTTGGATGAACGGCTGGTAAATAATAGTGCGTTTGTTCTGCCCACTGTGTTGTTTACACTGCAGCCACAAACTAAACATTGAGATCAAAAGAGGAAGCTTATTAAGGATGCCCTCCACCTAAAATTTGTGTATTTGACATTACGGAGGGGGGGGGCAAACACATTTTCTCTCCAGTGCGTAGATTTCAACCTATGTGCACCGTTACTAAGCACCTCCTTGTGCACTAAGTCGAGTGTGTGCTTTTCTATTGATGTGCTTTATAAACCAAGCACGGCAGGAAGTAGGAAATGTTTGATTACATTATTTATGTATAGAATATATTAGTGCATTTATTGTATCAGCCCGAGGCGCAATAAGTCAGACTGTTCAGTCAAATGGTAAAATGTCAGTTGAATTGATGAATCCAGCAAGTCGTGATGTCATGAAATGTTTTTTTTTTTTGCACTGATTGAAAGGGGGACATTTAAAAAAATTGAAAATAAATGTGGGAAATGTATTCCAATACACAGGTGGTTTAAAGCACACTTAAAATGTAGTTGCTCTATCTAGTTTGTTAAAAAAAAAAAAATAGTCAACACAAAAAATCTTTGTACTGTACTGTGAAGAACTAAAAATGTCACGAATCCTGGTGGGATTCAGTATTGCTCACTTTTAATTGACCCTGCGAGAGAGATTTTAATTAAATTATTATTGCGGTTATTGATTGCAGTGGTGTAGAAGGTGTTTATCAAGGCCGCATGGTCCACTTGGTCAGGCCATGAGGGCTGACGTCAGGAAATGTTTTTGATAGTAAATGAGGCGCCTTTGGTGTTGCGGTGCAGGAATGATGGAAAGGAGGGTGACGCCCAGGTTTCGGCTTGCGGTTATGGACAGATAGGCTGCGTACTGAGGCAGAATTGGGCGTTGTATACATTTGGAAGTTGAAGACAGTTGTGAAATGTTGAAAAGGGGGACAAGCATTGAGCCTTGTGGCGCACCTCGATTTACGTAAAATGGGGGTTGGAGAGGTATGAGTGAGAGCAGCTGAGAGCGGTACCGTTTAAGCGAGGGGGGATGTTGTGGGAGACGGTGTCAGAAGCTCCAGGAAACAAGGACAAATAGGCTGAAGTGGCCAGAGTCAACTTCACTGAGGAAAATGATCTCCGAGTGCAGCACGCAGCTCTCATTGTCGGCGTCTACTGCTCGAAAGCTTTTTCCGCAGAGAAAACAGATGTTTGGAGATCACCCGATAGTCGTTATTGCGAGTAATTTGGTGCCATCGGGCACTAAACATGAGCCTTGCTGCTGCTGCTGATGGACGATAAGGCCAAATGTCTTTTGATGTGCGCAGGTACTGCAGATGTACCTGCCCTTCTGTGGCATTGCGATCTCCAATGCCCAACTCTTTGCCGCCTCGAGAAAGGAATACGACAGGAGTCGGGTAAGTACCTCGTGACCCCCCCCACCTCCTCAACCGCCCCCCGCCCCCGTTTCCTTTCTTCGCAATGACAATACCTCCCATGATGCTCGCCGATCACCTGCGTAGGGATGGGCCTCATTCCAAACGCGGGCTTGGTTGGAGGGAACATTACGAGATGCACTTATTCATGCCACTAGTTGATCCGCCGTGGAGAGAACATTACGAGAACACAGTTCTGTGGGAGAGAAATGGTTTTATGTGCTCGGTATTAGATTGGATTGGCTCTGCCATACATCAAGGACTTAATATGCTTTGACTGGGGAAGCTAATCATGCCGCGTTGTTCTGATGTTTCATAGCCGAAGAATAATGATTTTTACAGTGTAACAGCCGAACAGGGCAAAGCCTCTTTATTGAGGCCCGTTTACACGGCGCTTTCTGATTTACTGCGGTAGCATCAAAACTCTCTGCCAGTTAAACCGACACTCTCTTTTTTGTTTGCTTCGGATATTCCTTCCAGGCACTCCTCGAGGTAGTCAACGACCTGTTTGAAGAACAGACCGATCTGGAGAAAATTGTCCGAAAGATCATGCATCGCGCTCAGACATTGCTCAAGTGCGAGCGCTGTTCTGTTCAGTTGCTGGAGGACATTGAGTCACCGGTACTGTTTTATTTTATTTATTTTTTGCTTACAGTAATATTTTGTGTACCGCCGACAGTTTATTAAAAAAAAAAAAAAAACGGATGATTTTTTTTTTTAATTGTCCTTTTGAATGTCTCAGGTGGTGAAGTTCACAAAGTCTTTTGAATTATTGTCACCTAAGTGCAGTGCTGATGCTGAAACAAGGTAAGTTATGTTTGAGCCTTTCATGCACCCTGTAACCTGATAACATGATCAGATGTCCACTCTAGTAACCGCTGAAACGGTTAAATGTGTTCAAATGGGGAACGCAAAATTTTTTTTTTAAGTTTTGCTTTTCATTTCCTTTCTTTTGATTTGGATGACTTTTTCTCTGCGTCATATTTCTCCATAATTTGCATCCGAATCTGTCAAGCTTTCATCAAGGACTAAATACAAATAAAGAAATAAAATATACTCCTCTGCTGAGGGAGTACAGAAAAGCAGGCTGACTGTGGGAGCTGTCTTTAATTTGATTTGGAAAAATTCTCACCACCGCTAGGCATGGCCGGGTGCGGAAAGATTGAATTATTGTTTAGAATGTTTTGATGTACGTGTCGTACACCACCCACAACATTAGGTACGCCTTGCCAATGAGCCCCAGCAACAGAGTTGCAAAGATTCTCCGTTTTTGATCGTCACCTCTCTATTGTATCCAATTTTTGGCAAAGCTTTCACTTGCTCGTTATCGTGTTCCCTCTTGATTGATGATAGTGTAATTGTGCATTTGGCCGGGTTGTATTTGTTTTTTGGATTCTTTTAAATAACTTAAAAAAAATATCTCTCCGTACATTTGTTTGTCTGGGGCCCTTTGGCGACTGGCCGGCCGATCACATCCACTCAACTTCATTACTTTAAGCTACAGAAGAAACTTTATGACACCATCTGTTTATTAATGCATCCCAGGGGGCGGGTCCACAGACACGGAACAAATTTGCATATAGTATGGCTTTGCCGTGTTGCGCTTCTAATATGCGAGGGAAGAAAACACTTTTTGCGTAACCGCGATACATTTTCATGAGAACGACTGTGAGAGATGTCAACATTGATTCGTCTTTCTTTGAGAACATAAAGAGGCAGACGCTTAATAGGCCGTGGCTTCGTATTCACTTCATCTCCCATTATTCATGTTCCACCCGCAGTTTCAAGGACAGTATGGAAAAGTCTTCTTACTCTGACTGGCTCATCAACAACAGCATTGCAGAGCTGGTCGCATCCACAGGACTTCCTGTCAACATCAGCGACGCCTACCAGGATCCTCGCTTTGATGCTGAGGTACCCACACAGCAATCAACCATTTTTAAAATTTATTATTATTATTATTTTTTTTTTTACTGAGTGACTTCACAAGTCACAGCACGGTGGTTGACCGATTAGCATGCTGGCCCGGCCTCACAGTGCAGAGGTGCAGGGTTCCATTCCGGCTTCGGCCTTCCTGTGTGGAGTTTGCATGTTCTTCCCCGGCCTGCGTGGCTTTTCTCTGGGTACTCCGGTTTCCTCCCACATTCCAAAAACATGCATGGCAGGCTCATTGAACACTCCAAATTGTCCCTTGGTGTGAGTGTGAGCGCAGATGGTTGTTCATCTTTGTGTGCCCTGCGATTGACTGGCAACCGGTTCAGGGTGTCCCCTGCCTGCTGCCCGAAGACAGTTGGGATAGGCTCCAGCACGCCCCGCAAGCCTTGTGAGGATCAGGGAGCATTGTACACTGGTCAACAAACAAGCAAAAATAACAGACCTACGTGGGGACAGATTTGAAGTAAAATGAGAAACTGACCAAGTTTGGACATAGAAGGTTTTCGCCTTACAGTCCAAGTTTCAAGAGTTTGTTGCCTTAGAGCGAAGGTGTCAACCTCCGGTTACCCCGCATATTTTCCATCTCACACTGCTGCAGCACACCTGATTCAACGATTAGCTCGTCAGCTAGCTCTGCTCAGTACTGTATGTTCTCAATGTAGATGGCCGGTTATTGTTGTGATTAATATGCCACCGTTTTTTCTAGGCGGACCAGTTTTCCGACTTCCATATTCGCTCTGTGCTTTGTGTGCCCATATGGAACAGCGATCACCAAATCATCGGTAAGTCAACAAATAAAATTCATTTACAAATGATAAATGACCTTTTTTTTTTTTAAATGACTGTTTGTAGTCGGTGATTGAAAAGTTAACCCTTTCATGCACACCCGATAACATGATAAGCTGTCCACTGTAGTAACCGCTGTCCCCCGAAAGAGTTGAAGTTCATGAAGAGCACAGTTCATTGAACGAGTGGTGGCGCCTCGCGCTGTACTTCAGGGTCATATCAATCTTTGCTATACTCATCAGAATTTACAGTCCTACTCAGGCAATCTTTACACGAGTAAATATGTGTCGCATTTGGGGTCATAATTGGTCCTCACAAGGAGTTTGAATCGGTCCTTTCCCCTGTTGTTGCCACTGCATGTCGACAAATATCGGTGACAGGATTTATATCAGAGTCTTCCGTTTCTGTGATGAGACCCGGTCTCTACTTTGCCGGTGTTTCCTCGTCGCGTGCTTCGTGTTTGTGAATCAGCCCCAGGGCCGACACCACGCACCGACACTGCCATAAATCATTGAGCCTCTCTTTGGTGTCGGTGTTTAATACTTCTGTGAGGGCCAGCAAGATCATCCTTCGAGATACTGGATTGTATCTGGACTCACCCACAGGAAGTCATTCTTGTCATTGAATCCAAAAGTGATCAGCATATTTGTAAATGGCGAGTTTAAACGTCTGTGTGTCTTTGTGTGCTTTGCATTTCTTTTGCGTGGGTGTTAATGTATTTGTCAGGGACAGGAAGCCGAGAAGAAAACGGGCAAATGAAAAAGAAAAAAAAAAAAGCACAGTGTGTGGGTGGCACCTGAGGACCTAAAGTGAAAAACCATTATAAAGACAAATCAGCGGAAGATGAAATTCTCAAGTCAAGGATACTTTTGATTCATAAATGAAATGTTCTTGTGGCGTCTGTCAAGGTAACCAACAGCTCATTCAAAATGAAATCCCCATAATTTGTGCTGTGATTATAACAACAACAATAGCCTACCGAGGTTTTCAGAGTTGGAAGTTGGGACAGTTAATTGCAGCCCTTCCTGTGGAACTGTGATGGAAAATTAAACGGATGTTAATAAGCTCTCAAAAGCTTTGAATTATAATATGCTTGAAAATAAAGCTGCTTAATTGAATTTGTGGCCACGGCAAACTTGAGTGAGACCCTTCCCCTACTCCCCCCTCTCTGATCGCATGCGCAATGCACCTATCGCACCGGGCTTGGGCACTGTCACATGCTAGGACACGCCATTAGCGACCGCTACGAAGCGACCGCTAAACATGCTAGCTTGACATGAGAACGGTAGCGCCAAACACGGCATCACATTAAAAAATTGGAATACATATGCTCGCCGTCACCCTATTATGCCCCGGCTCCAAGCTTTATTACACTCTATTATGTTTTGTCATGTTTTGTTGAATCCTCCCTCCCTCCAAATGAACACACTGGTTAGTTAGCCAACAAGTTAGCCAACAAAAGCATGATCAGAAAACGTGCCAGTCCAAATGTTTAACGGATTCGAATAAATCGAGAGCCTTTTTGGCAGCCCTCCGATGCTTAGAGGACCTCAAGCGGCCCATTGGTTTGCTTTTGCCTTGGATGTACAGTATTTGCAAAACACTAACTTAAAAAAAAAAGCTTTGCCTGTGCATGATAATGCACAGGCAAAGTTGATCGAAAATCTGAATAAGAAATGTTAGCACAGATATTAGAAAAGAGGTAATCCGGGGTCACGATGCCAATGGCGGCGAGGGATATTTTGCTCCTTCTTCCAAGGCAGCGTATCATGATTTTGAAGCTGTTATTTACAGCTGAGACGGCATGACATATTGTTGCTTGAAGCTGCGCCGAATGTTTTCTGAGGTCAGTGTGCAAATTGCCCTTCTGTCTGAGTTAGTGTGAGCAGAAGGTTCACGGCAAAAAAAACTGCGGTCCACTGTGATAAGCGCATCAAAACGGGACACTCGGGCCTCGCTCCCCTTTAACTCGAATAATGGCACTCGGTCGAGTGCATAGCCCCCCCCTTCTCCTCCTCTTTCCCGCCCCAGCCAAGCTCCAACAGTCCCCTTGAATTCAATCAATAAGCCCCCCATAACTGCTTACAGCGGCGGTCGCAAATTGCCCGCCTCATTTGTCAGTTGTACAGTGGTTGATAAATGCTCACCTCCAAATGAAAATCGTGACCTCTCTTCCAAATGATGGCTTGAAAATGTTGACTTTTTGACGCCAAGCTGTGTGCCGTGTTCTGTTTCTCTGTTGCTCTTTGAAAAACTAGAGCTGGTCTCAATCATCTCTTGAGATTTAAAGAAAGGATTTGAACTTAATTGAATTGAAAGTATTTATTGATTGAGAAATGCGCTCGGCGTTGGACAGCGATGGAAAAAAAAATTGTATATGTGCAACGGGGAAAACAAATTAAGAAGTATTTACCTCGCCTCATGAGTTCTGATTTTTCATAATGCTGTGGTGAGCACAGCATTATAAAAAAAAAAAAGGAAGATCGGTCTTGTCGCAGTCATGAGTGCGCGCACGTCACACAGAGGATGACTGATGAGTGAGGAGGAGAAAAAAAAACATTGACAAGTTCAGGTTTGGATTGGGGTGGATGCTTTAGAGCGCCTTGTTGTTGGCCATGAGTGTACGCATGCCACGCAGAGATAGAAGCAAGAGCAAGAAAGCGGTAAAACTAAGTGCAACTTGACAGCCGGCATTTGTACCGTGGCTTTGGACCGGCGTGGCCATTTTAGAGCGCCTCGTCGTCAGCTGTGCGTAAGCCTACAGAGCTTTGGCATCATCCCATCACAATCTGCATCGATGAACTATTCATGTTCAGCGTGCTTTCTACTTTCATCAGACACGAAGAGAAGTCGGCTGAATACACCAAAAGGCTTCTTAGTCCCAACGGTGTTATTTTGTTGACTCTATTAATTGAATATTCATTTTGCACTTGCCCTTTCTAGCGCCGTGTCATCTTGCAGCAAACTAATTCACAACAGACTTATATGCAAGAAGTGGCTGGGTGTGAAAAATAATACATCAGCATATTGTGAGAGTTTCTTGAATAAATTTGCCTCTTTTTTGTTTTTTTAAATTATTCTTAGGAACATAATTTGCAGCATATTACCGGATTGCAGGTTTGCTCAAAATTTCTCCGCTGAGCTCTCTTTGGGCTTGTTCTCCAGGTGTTGCCCAAGTGTTGAACCGCCTCGACGGGAAACCGTTTGATGATGCGGACCAGCGTCTCTTTGAGGTATTCGGCTCACCTGCATTATTGTCATTTAATATCAGCGCTAGTCAGACTTATTTTGATATTTTGTATTTTATTTTATTTTTTTTCCCTCAGGCTTTTGTGATCTTTTGTGGCTTGGGCATCAACAACACCATCATGTATGACCAGGTGAAGAAGTCGTGGGCCAAGCAATCGGTGGCTCTGGATGTAAGAATGCAGCCTCTATAAGAATTGTCCACTTCAGCCAAAAATATTCATACTCACACAAGGCTTTTGTGTTAAAGTGCATTTTTATCCCGTTCATGGAAAAATGGAACAAAAGATTGTGTCTCCACAAAACTGCAGCATGTCACTACCGTTCCTGATTAGTCGTATAAAATGGATGGGTGGATATCATTAATTTGACTGATAAAATACCTTTGGAACTCATACAAATTCAGACTGATTAAGAAAAAAATGGCCACTGCATGAATGATGTTTGCTTATCTGTATTTTAATGCTGGTTGTCGTTTCCCAAACTCTTTGGTTTCCACTTCCTCTTCCCTTTTTCCCAAAGGAATTACAAAATGCTGATGTCGGTGTCCCTCTCTAGAAGGTGTTTTGAGAATTAATGAGTGGCTGGGCTAAGAAATCGCTCATCTTGCCCGCCGTGTTCTGCAGCCGTTAGTGGTTGAATGACTTAATTTTTTTAATTTGTATTTTTATATAGTTGACTTGTTGAGTCTATGAATGAAACAGTACAGTGTCCCACAGCCTTTGGACATTTTGCCGCTCCACAAAGCGTTACAGTCCAAGAATTGGTCAACACTAAGACAAGATGTCAAAAAATGTGCCAAATGTGGACTTAAAATTCAGAGTCGTAAAGCTGACTAGTCAATTAATTAGTTCAACCCCAGCCATCATGTTCTAAGTTGCACAATGTGTACTTTAATGAACTGAAAAAAAAAAATGCATTTGTGTCACCGGTATCATCATTTTTCAGGTCCTCTCTTACCACGCCACTTGCTCCAAGACCGAAGTTGACAAATTCAAGGTAAATGCGGTTTACTCCGGTCGTGTTGTCCCTCCTCTGCCAGCACATTGCGGTAACAAACCTAATACAATCGCTTGGCCATCAAGCTAAAAAAAGCAAACGTGAGGTGGCGGTTGTGCATTTCCCCCACAAAAGGTACACTGCGGATAACGACCAAGACTAGAGACGCATGCGTTTTAAAAAAATATATTTATATTCACCTTCACGTCTTGGTTTATTTGTCTGCCGCTCAGTCGGCTAATGAAAAACAGACCAGGACCATGAACCTTGGCGGAGGCAGTGAGAGTCGGCCAAGGGGAAGCCCATTATATTTTTCAGCAAGCTGACGCCGGTACATACGAGAACTTGTTAGATTTTCTTGAGGATTGTGCGATTTTTTTTTTTTTTTTTTTGGGCGTGGGGTGGGGGGTTGCACTCATTAAATTTGACATGGCTCCTTAAAACTGGCACCATTCGTGATGGTGTTTGGCAAATATTGGGGTGCAGATTTTGCAGGTGTTATCGTGGCCCATTTTAAATTGGAATTTGTTCTCTTACTCTTTTGGTGAAGAAAGTGATTGTGTCTCTATATGGGTTGCTACACCAGTTGTGTTCAAATATGCATAAATCAATAGAGTCAAAACTTAAGGGCCAGATTTGGGCCGCCACCTCATTTCGTCAGTGAGTCAACTTCATGTTTGTTGCAAATTTTTTTTTTTTTTTTTTTTTTAAGAACATAGCATTGCATTACTTTTGTTTCTAACAAGCCATCTAAAATAATTGAAAAATAGTTGTTCAGACATTTTATTTGTAGGGTTTTTTTTTTTTTGGTTGCTGATTTCTGATTTCACACATATGGATTCACAGTCATAATGGCACCACGAGGAAAGCAACCAAACCTCTGAAATAATGACGCAGTGGCCCATGACAAAAATGAGTTTGACATTCCTGTCTTAAATGGTTGAAAGACCAACGCAAAGATGCTATTTGTTAGCCAGCCAGTGGTGCTTCTCATTACATATTTGCATTAAGATGGCAGACTTTAAATGCACAACATGTAATTCTCTTTCTTTTATGTCTAGTTTGACTGTAAACTTGAATTGTCAGCGGCCTTAACAAGCTTGAAGCCATTTGGGAGGATGTGTTCCTGGTGTGGTTCACAACATCTGTGTACGCTAAAATTAGGCATAAGGATGCTAACACTCATTTTCAGTTGAATGCAAATCTGGCGTCCGCTTAAACCAATATTTTTTTTTTGGCGGGGGGTGCTTCTATTTATTATTTATGTATGTAAGCTTACAAGCGTTTGAATGGCAATGCAACGAACATTTAATTTATCTTTCATTAGATGCTAATCTCTCAGCTAATCGCTCATTCACAACATGCTTTACAGGATTTATTGACTTCCTGCACCACTTCCGTGTATTAGCACACAGACTCCATACAGTACCTACAGTAGACAACAAACAGATTTTCCAGTGAAAATAAAACTAGTTGCAACATTCACAAATGCAAACAGCAATCAGTAGACAATCGTTCAATTCGTTTTATCATCAAACTGGAAAGACATTTTCCATTTTTAATTGCTTTGACATTTCTGAAATATAGATATGACCCATTTTCTCCGCACTTCCAAGTGAAGGATTTTCCCATGTGACCATTCAGCAAAACAGGATATTTTTGAAAATATAAAATGCACTGTTTGAAAAATAATCCACAAAAAGAAACTGTGGTTGGTTTACTTAAACAACATGCAGCATGTATTTGTTTTTAAGTAACTTAAATATTTTAACCATAGCAAATCTTAAGAATATCTTAAATGGATATTAAATATACATCCAATACTGAATTCTTTCGAATTGAGGATTTTTTTTCATATCCCTTACACTCTGTGTTTAAGCATATAACCAAACCATATCTTTCTGTCAAGAATATGGTTTGGTGTTCATGCAAACATTACATTCAGAGCACTTAACGCGTCGTTTTAATATTCTTTTATCTCAATAACACAACGACTGAACCTTATAGTACTCTTTCAATTTTATACACATAATAATTTACATAAGGATACAAAAAAGTTTTAAAATATTCCTTCAAATTACATGTAAATAAATTTTTCCTTGAAGTTCTTTTCATCGTCCATATAATTTATTTATTCTTAATATAATTTATTTTTCATATACATTTTGTTTTATAATAAATGTTTTACTATTTTACTTTAAATACTGTTGCATTCTTATGTAAAGACTACCAGTATAACTCTAAGATTCTTTGATTTAGAATTAGTAGCATGGGCATGAAGCCTTGATTTATTTTTTACTATTTTACTTTAAATACTGTTGCATTCCTTTATAAATACTATTAGCATAGCTCGAAGGTTTTTTGATTTAGTATAAGTAACATATGCATAAAGCCTTCATTTCTTTTTTACATATTCGAAATAGGTGTTTGAATAAAATTTTAGACAAAAATCCAAAAATCAATTACAGCATCGTTTCGTGTAAGTGCATGTCTATCAAAACAACTTATCAGTTGTATAAAATTATATGGGCTCTACTTACCCATGGTATATAAAATTCATGAGAAGAAGCCTCCTTCAAAATTACTAGATATTATTCCTTTCAAAATTGATGGAGCCATATGCTGAGTTGCTACCCTTGGTTCAAAGATAGAAATTTATGATTTAATTTTAACATTCTTCATTCTTATAGAACCGAGTGTACAGAAAATTTGCTACAAACCGATAGCAATGATTATTTAGAAATTGGGAGAGAAAAAATTATTTTAGCACAAATTCATGTTGAAACAAATAAAAAAACTAAGGAAAAGCAGATCTTTGTAAAGAAAAAGATTTTTGAGATAAAATTAGCAAAAATTCAAAAGGTGGTTCAATTTCCACTGAAAAATGTAACTAAGAAAATGCATAAAAAACACGGAATGAATATTTTTAATAAGGTGTAATTCATGGAGTATCCGCTAGGGGACACACTGTTTTGATCAGAGAAGAAGACAACAGCAGTCAGACCCAACAGAACAGACGCTATCAAGGGCATGTGAATACTTTATTCTTTACACATTTAATAGCACTCTCCTTAGTTTGTAAGGTGTAAGCAGGGATTACATTTAGATTTTATGTGCACATGGGTAAATGGTTTAAAAATCCCTTTCTTTATAAATCTCGTTTCATCTTAAGGTGCATTACTAAAACAAAGGAAAGACATATTATTTTGGTTATTTATAGCAAAGTATGGTATAATTTTAATCCCCCCGACCCGCCTCGCTGTGTGCCCTCCCCGCCAGACTCTGTGTCGATGGCTGCTGACGGTGAGGAAAAACTACCGGATGGTTCTGTACCACAACTGGAGACACGCCTTCAATGTGTGCCAGTGCATGTTTGCCATGCTCACGGTAAGGAAGACTCTCGTCCTCGAAAATTGATGTTTACTCGGCAAAGAAGACTCTCGTTTCGTTCGATAGAACGCAACCACGACGATTGTTCTAATGGGAATAAACAGAAAATCACCGCAGGAACAGGTCAAGTTAGAGTTCACATGATTTGGGGTTTGAGCTCATGTGGTTGACGAGCTGCACTGAGATTACTAAACTATTTGTTACCATTATTATCATTTCAAAGCACTTCGGGTAAATCCATAATATTTCCATCACTTTTTTTTTTCTTAACGGGCTCAGTTTTCTAATAATTACAGTCCTTTACAATTTGCACTCAAGTCTCCCGAGACCACGTCAGCAAACGGAAACCTGTTGATGTTGGATGTTAATGGAAGAAAAATATCATTACTTTATCATCGATCAACGCTGGAGCGCTGCTCCTGAATTGATGCATGAATAGTAATAGTCCATGAATATTAAACTGGATATTCAGCGTTCCCTCACTTTTTTATGCGGGTGATGCCTTCGAAGCCCCCCACCCCCACCCCATGAAAACTGAATAGCACGGCTTCTATTCCCTTTGACCTTACACTTTGCGTGACTCATCAATATTATTAATTAAATCTGTCGAGTATGAAAAGCGTGCGGCTCGCACAAAGTGTCGTTCACTTAATTAAGAATTTCAATTTGCTACGACACGTCATTTTTTCCCTCAAAAATGACGGACGGCTTCCAAAGGACGGACTGTTTAGCACCTGCGCCTCACTGCGCAGAGGCGTCACGCACAGCTCGAGCATGGTCGCGGCTCTTAAAAAATGGGAACGCTTGCTATCTTTGCCGCTTTGACCACAATATTCGAAAGCGACTCACTCAGCACATGGCCTCCTGAACTCATTCATCCAAGCCTTTGCCACTTCTACTCATTGTCCTTCTCACAGCTCGCGCAAATTATGCGTTAAGAAATGCTGAGAGGGCACCTTTTGCGTTTGTTTTCTCATCTTCCGATCAGACGGCCGGCTTCCAGGAGACTCTGACAGAAGTGGAGATCTTAGCACTCATCGTGGGTTGCGTATGTCACGACTTGGATCACCGGGGCACCAACAACGCCTTCCAGGCAAAGTAAGTGTCTCAGACTTGCTCCGATGACCGCGCATCCTCCTACACACCGTTGAAAGCGTTTCGCCACCTGCGGCGGTCAGCAGATTGGCAAGAGTCAAGTGGCAAGTTGTGTAAGACTTACATAAGTGCCGAACCGACGAGCACATTTCAATGAGCAGGTGACCTATGTGCTATATCGCTTTACGCTTGCTTCCTTTACAATATTGTGAGTGGCGACAGAAACTAAGATTACAATTTTGCCTGCTACGAGCACACTTCATGCACAAGACAACTCAATGTACTTCACGCAAGCAAAGACACAAAACCTACAAGGATTTATAAACACAACAGTTAACGACATTCAGAAGCAAAGCGGAGAAAACAAAAGTTGCTGCCGGTACCTTGACAAGATTCAAACACATTAGCAGAAAACGCTCATAACACTGAAAAGTAAATTAAAGATATAAGAGTAGGTTTCTAAAAAGAGTTTTTTTTTAAACATGACCCGAATTCAAAGGTATGGGGGGGGGGTTCAATATGGATTTAAAAGCATTTACACTCTGCGCTGACTTCATGATTGTTGGCAACTTATTGCATTCGTGTGCAGCATAGCACCTAAATGCAGCTTCACCGTGTTTACTTCGAACTCTCTGCGTTCTCGTTTTTAAAAGGGCGTTCCGGTTGGAACAGTTACGGCTGTTATAAATTTGGGCTTTTGTTGTTATTTAAAAAAAAAAAATCTTTTCAAGAGGGGAAGTAAGCAATTGAAATCACGTGGTTCAGGATGTCTGTACTCTCTTATAAGTGGCTGCATTTGTTCAGGAATACGCAACTTACATTTCAAACTCATGTTCAATGGGAATTGGCACACACCTGCCACCATATTGGACACCGTAAAAGTACTGTTGGTATTTGATGTTTTATTTGTGTGTGTGTGTGTGTGTGTGTGTGTGTGTGTGTGTGTGTGCGCGCGCGCATGTGTCAGGACAGGCTCGGCTCTTGCTCTGCTTTACGGGACCTCCGCTACTCTTGAGCACCACCACTTCAACCACGCTGTCATGATCCTGCAAAGCGAGGTGAGCGCTCTCGCTCTCTCATATTCTCCTGTTGTTGTTTTTAAATCTGCTGTAATGCAGCCCTCCAGATGTTCTCAAGTCAACGACTGCACGATGCTGCATTTGGGTGCAACACAATGAATTGCACATAGCCCCTGTAGAGTTTTGACCCTCTCTTAACACACGTTAGTCGGCCGCGCTATGGTTTGTTTCAATCTTGGCGGTGCAAATGCGGCCTCCCGTGTTCTCTTGTGCACCGCATTACAATGCGGTGGTGCCTTCGAGTTTTTTTTTTGTTTTGTTTGTTTTTGGGAGCGATGCAGGGGCGGGGCTACTCGGTTGGCCAATGGTGGCATGGAGCACTTGTGGCCTCCACAGGGCGAAGTGAAATGTTTGACATCATGTTTCCAAATGTGCAATAATACTGACGAGATCAGTGATGAGCAAATAGTTGCAAAGCAAATGACGGTTCCTCACGTTGGCAGCCGAAGCAAATTGGAAACCATCGATAACATGCGCAAGCGGCAACATTCTGGTTTGAGTTTATAGTTGCACCTGCCGTTTATTTTCCCACACTGTTCGCATTTACAACTTAGTAAGGATTTCATGTCGTTTGAAGCAGATGGCAAATATGTGGCCATTGTAATCATATGTGAAATGAGTAAAAAGTAAGGATTTCATGTCGTTTGAAGCAGACGGCAAATATGTATGTGGCCATTGTAATCATATGTGAAATGAGTAAACAAAACAAAAGCCAAGCTAAAGCCGATGTTTCACTTAAATCAATACAATTACTGGGCTGATAGATTTAGTGGTAATTGGTTTGAGAGAGAGACATTTTAGCAGGTGACTTGTTTTGTTTTTGTTTATAATTAAAGATGTTTTGCACGCGCTGCTGAGTAGCAGAGGCTTAGTCGCCTTCATTATCACGCTGCTGACAAAGACGACAAATGTTTCCTTTGAATATCCTAATGGTTTCTCTCGATAACGTCGTTGAACCAGAGCTGTCCTATTAGCATATAAATGAATAGCGTGGCTAATTCAAAAAGAAGACCAGGCTCAGGTTTCTATCTGCTGGTTTGCACCAATCATTCATGACAATATACAATTTTATACATCGCTCCCTCCCATCGCGTGGCTTCTTTTGCTCCCGTCATTCTCACGTTGCTTTATTACAGAATGTGACGAGGGCTTCATATGAATGTATCCGGTTTAAAACTAATCAAACTAATCAAGCTGGACGCAAATTAAAATAGTAATTTACATCCTCTCAATCCGTTTTTTTTCCCAATCACTTCTGTCATCTCACAAGTGAGCAATGCTTGGGATTTGTCCCCCCACCCCCATGTCAGTATTCAACAATATATTTATGAATGAATTTGGTTTGCAGTGATGTAATGAGAGATTTTCTAATATTTTGTGCTATAAACTAGCCACCTGAGAGGATCAAAGTATTGGAGTTCACAATCTCAAATGAGAGGGAGTGATTTTGTACTTTACAGTATATCATTATGGCTGTGATTTGGCCATCGGCACAAGGCCGCGGGCCTCATAATGGCCTTGAGTGTGATATTGCTTTTAATACAAAAGTACCATGAGAGTAAAGTATTGTCAACGTGACAGCCAATTTTGATTTGTTTGTTTATTCTATTAGTTATTTGGCTCCACCATCACAAATAGCGGCGAACAGCGGTGTTCGCCGCACAATCGGATGTTAGCGCATCAAGCTAACCAGCTAAAGCGTCAACGTCAGCACCGCCCCCCCCCAAAAAAAATAGAAACATGCGTCACGCTACCAAATCATTTCATAGGCACTCCACGATGAGCAAAAGTGACACAAAGAAATGCAAATTGAAGGAAACTAATGCAACCATTACGCACTTGTTTCGCTACGTTAGCATGTTGGCCAAGTGTCTGCACCGATTGGCACGTTTAAAACGTCATTCATGTGTCATTTCATCACATGAGCACACCTGGTGGTTTGCGTGAATATCAATGGACTTTTCTCTTCTTTATTCTTTTTTAATTTATCCTCATCTGCTGGACCATCCAAATTTTAAATCAAATGATATTCCTGCGAATATGTCCATGTTTGCTAAGTTTTTAGCAACCCACAATAATGCAATGATAGCCACTGACCAAAAATGTTGGTGAAATTAACAGTTTAGAAAGGTAAAGCGATAAGTGAAGGAGGCTGCAATACGTTTACTGACTGTAATGCCCTTGCATATGGGAAAAGAGAAACACTTTTTAGATTGTGCAGGTCTACTTACTGTTGTATTGAGTGCTCCTCGGTATCCGTGTGTCTGATTGATCAATTGACTGTGGTTGTGTCGCGTCTTCCCCAGGGTCACAACATCTTCTCCAACCTCTCGTCCACCGAGTACAGCAACCTCATGCAGCTGCTCAAGCAGTCTATTCTGGCCACCGATCTCACACTTTACTTTGAGTATGTGCTACATCGTCATTTTAAAGAACAAAACTGGCGGTTGAGACCATTATATACAGTATTAAAGTATACGAACCTGGTCTTCAACCTGTTCTGGCTTAGTTTGGTTCACAACGCCCCCTTGTGGATCTTGTGTGTCTTACACCTGCTACTTCTCCCCATTCAGGAACAGAACCACGTTCTTTGAACTGGTGAACAAAGGGGAGTATAACTGGAACGTGAAAGCCCACAGAGACATGTGCAGGTGAAATTGCATGATTTAAAAAAAAAACATATATTTTTTTGCTAAAAATTGAAAATAACGCAGACCGTCCTTTCCCCCCTGAGATCCATGATGATGACAGCATGTGATCTCGGCGCTGTCACCAAGCCATGGGAAATATCCCGCAAGGTGAGAGTAATTCAGGCTCGGCTCTTTGATCAAGGGGTCAAAACGTGTTTGTAAACGTTTCTTCGTCTTACCCTTTGCTCCAGGTGGCTGAGTTGGTGACCAGCGAGTTCTTTGAGCAGGGCGACAGGGAACGATCAGAGTTGAAGCTCACACCCGCGGTGAGTGGATCTCGGTGAAAAACTGTCACCCATTCTCAGCCTGCTCACGCTGGCAGTTTTTTTTACCTGAGGGACCCACAGAAACTCGTCGAAGAATTATTTCATTTTTTTTATTGGTGTTTTTGTTATCACTTCCGTTTGAGCTACTGATGCGTTACGAATTCAGCCCCGTCCTGACTGTTTGCTTTGAAGGCCAGCCTCTATTGTCAACCTTTTTTTTCCCAAGACTGCGAATCGACAGACATTTCTCAACGACGACGACAACAGCGTTTCACGCATGTGCAATTAAGCACAATGACTAATCAAGCCAGGCCATATTGCCTGTACTTTAATACAGCGAGTCCCCCACCCTCACCCACCGCCCCCAGCCAAGCTCTTTATGTTAAACTTGTACAGTTTAAAGCGTGGGTGTTGGAAATAAAATATTAACTTCGGCAGTGAGTCGCAGCAACTATCTCTGAAGCGCAGGCTGCGTGAAGCCTCTTAATAAACACTGCCGAAGAGGTGGCGGGCAAAATGAGAAATTATTTGTTGCCGTAAAGCGACTCGCACTGTTGCTTCTGTCCACGTGACAATACGAGAAAGAAACGACTCACTCACTCCTCTGTTTGTTTTTCAGGCCATCTTTGACCGAAACAGAAAAGACGAGTTGCCCGGTCTTCAATTGGAGTGGATTGATGGAATTTGTGCGCCGCTCTATGAGGTAATCTTCCCAAGGCAGCCGTTGCACAAAATTGTTTGTAGCCTAAGCCACGCTGGTCGGGGAAATAAAAGTTAGACAAGACTTAACCCTCCGTCAATCCATTTTTAATGTCCTGTTGCGGGTCATGAATGATTTAGGGCGAGAGGTAGCTTACACCCTGGATTGGTTGCATGCAGGGGCGTTTCTAGAAGCGGGACGATTTCTTTTATGATACATATAACATTTATGTCAACATTAGTCTAAATCTGAAATGTGCAAAATTTTCAGAAGGCTAAAAAGATACACTGAAGATAAGAGCGCTTCATTTTGTTGTCGGCATGTTTGACAGCTAGCCAGTAGGGGGCCCCATTCCCGAATCCCATCTGTCATTGCAGTTTTTCCTTTTTGGTGGGGGGTTGAACCAATTAGTTAACAAGCCGCATGCTCACCTGACAACTCTACAGCGATGTCCAGTAGTATGAGGGGTTTTTTTTTTTTGTTTGGGGAGGGGGGAGGGGCATCGTTGACAGTGTACTACCTGTCTTTCCAACGGGCTAATGTCAGCCATTTCATGGGAACTCCTGCGCGCCGCGCGCGCGCGCACACACACACACACACACACACACACACACACACACACACACACACACACACACACACACACACACACACACACAGAAAAACAGCAGTTTCTAAAAATATTTTTGGAGCCAAGATTTGAACCAAAAATCATCTTGTCTGCATTCTTCTTGTCGGCGTAATTGCCAAGTGTCCTAATACATACTTGTATGTCCATAAAGTGTAAATCCTTCACCTGGTTCTTGATCTGTAGCCCCCCCCCCCCCCCACTCCCACCCCAATGCAAAGCCGTAAAAGCCGTCCATTTAGAACCTTCTTCCACTAACACATCCCTCATTGAATAAAAGCCCTCCAAGGTTGAATGTGGCGCAGACGAGCGGATGCTTTGTGCGCATGCAACGGCAAGAAAAGAAATCGTTCGTGGCCGACGCTGAATTTCTTTTCACCGACAGTTTGTGTTCACGGAGATGGAGCTGCTGTACCATCTGAGCCTGTGAAATTTGAGCTGACATTTAGTACGAGCGCAATCTGTTTGGACTTGGATTTAATGGGCGGATCAGAAGTTGGTAAAATGCTGAGAAGGCACAAATTGAAAGAATCTGAATTAAAGCACGTCATGATTTCTTCCCGTATTGAAACATTGTGATGATTTTGAAATTTCAAGCAATAATTGGTCACTCCAAAAACTCCCAATGGCTTTGCTTTGCGTTGTTAGACCGATATTCTTGTGAGATTTAAATGCCGCCTCACTTTAAATGCCGACTACGAGTACCTGGGCCGAGTTGGATATCAAGAACACCGAATAAATGTTCGTACGGCTTTCCATATCGTTGCGCTTGTCATTTACTGTACTGTAATGTAGCCTTGCAAGTGGGGGCTTTCTCTTTGAGGCTGAATGCAAAGCGGCCTGTGAGAAAATGTGCGTGAGCCAATGACGTCAATGAGCCATGCACCCCCACCCCACCCCCCCACCCTGCTCCCGCTGCGTGGGCGACAGAAGGCGAAGCGAGACTGAGGCAAGATGAGGCGCGCGCGAAGCCATCGCGGTTGGACAGCACCAATCATGTCCGCCGTGCCATTTATTCAATTAGGGGACACGAGTCAGAACTGATCATGTGCATTGTGTCCAAAGCATCAAAGTAAGACGTCGCGGTACCTGCGCGGGGGCGTTCGTTCACCGCCGCGGCGGCAAAGCTGATGTTTGGAGGAGGATGCAGATACGGAGCTCACTATCACGCCGCCGCCAATTAGACGAGAGGAGGGAGAACAGAGGCAGATGCGAGGCAGCGGGGAGGCAATGGTTGGAAGGTCTCTTTCTTGATCGTGTTGATCTCTTTCTCCTGGCGCTGTCTTGATGCTCCATGGAATATTAATCTCCCCCTCCTTATATAACCGTTCTCTCTTCCTATGAGGAATAGTGACACCGCTGCATGGTGGATGTGGACGAGTGAGAAACCCAAGCAGTGGCTCGTGTGTTAGGGACCCGGGCATCCAGAGTGACCTTTCAGCCAGCTCCTAATTGCATCACTGTCACATCGCGCTATCTCCTACAGGGGGAGACAAAGGCAAACAGTTGCCGCGAAGCTACACGAGTGTGCTAACACCAGGTGGAAGTCATTGATCACCACCAAACACTTGGTCCTTTGTCTTTTTGTGGCCTGCGATTGGTTGTCGATCGACCAGTCCAGGGTACGACTCCACAACCCGAATGAGGAGAAGCATAACATAAAGCGTATAGCGGAATGGGTTTCGCATAATAAGCAATTGCCTTTGTGTGTGTGTGTGTGTGTGTGTGTGTGTGTGTGTGTGTGTGTGTGCGCGTGCTGGCAACGCACCTCCGCAGGCTTCAAAGGAGGAGGTTTTCATCGGTTGTGTGAGTGGAGTGCACTTCATATGAAGCAGAGTTAATGGATCCAGTCGACTGGGTGCAGCGTCTGGATCTAGATGAATAATGGGTTGAATAATGTGCTGATGTTCGACTTGGTGCCTTGTACACAGCGGAGCGGACATCAACAGAACACAGAAAGGCAGTCCGCTCTCCGAAGAGTGTAAAAGCAACATTGTGTTGTTTGAATCTCTCCTTTTGCGCACCCTGGAACCTGATGACATGAGAAGATGAAAGAAAGGTTTAATCAGACATCACAGATTTTTGACAAAGTCCTGTGATAGAGTGGCAAAGCTTTTTTTTTTGTCAAGGCAGAGTTTGGCACAGTCAATTAATTGTCACATGCCAGTGATGCGCACAATGCTGTTTCCATGACAACAGCGATCAGGGGAATCAGCAGCCCCACGCAGCAGAGAAAGGACAGGGAGGGTTGGAGGCAACAGCAAGTCAGGCCTCAAGCTGCTTTTTGCCACTCACCTTTGAAGTTTGCTGTCAAACTGAGCATAAAAAAGAGAAATACATGTCTACTTAACCACAAAAACAAAACAAAAAAAACCACACACACACAAAGCATTGTAGACAGGCTAACTACTAGCATCGGTGTCATGGTGTTATAACCCTCCACACAATGGATTTGAATACAAAGGGTGGAGCAACATAAAGACAGCCAAGATGATAATTCTCAGAGTAGGTCTGGGCGAATTAACGGGTTGACAAAGTCAACCACTATTACTGGCTCTCACAAAATTTAGTGGATCCAAATAATTTTTTTTCCCTCGCCTTCTTGGCGATGCACTTCATATGAAGCAGAGTTAATGGATCCAGTCGACTGGGTGCAGCGTCTGGATCTAGATGAATAATGGGTTGAATAATGTGCTGATGTTCGACTTGGTGCCTTGTACACAGCGGAGCGGACATCAACAGAACACAGAAAGGCAGTCCGCTCTCCGAAGAGTGTAAAAGCAACATTGTGTTGTTTGAATCTCTCCTTTTGCGCACCCTGGAACCTGATGACATGAGAAGATGAAAGAAAGGTTTAATCAGACATCACAGATTTTTGACAAAGTCCTGTGATAGAGTGGCAAAGCTTTTTTTTTTGTCAAGGCAGAGTTTGGCACAGTCAATTAATTGTCACATGCCAGTGATGCGCACAATGCTGTTTCCATGACAACAGCGATCAGGGGAATCAGCAGCCCCACGCAGCAGAGAAAGGACAGGGAGGGTTGGAGGCAACAGCAAGTCAGGCCTCAAGCTGCTTTTTGCCACTCACCTTTGAAGTTTGCTGTCAAACTGAGCATAAAAAAGAGAAATACATGTCTACTTAACCACAAAAACAAAACAAAAAAAACCACACACACACAAAGCATTGTAGACAGGCTAACTACTAGCATCGGTGTCATGGTGTTATAACCCTCCACACAATGGATTTGAATACAAAGGGTGGAGCAACATAAAGACAGCCAAGATGATAATTCTCAGAGTAGGTCTGGGCGAATTAACGGGTTGACAAAGTCAACCACTATTACTGGCTCTCACAAAATTTAGTGGATCCAAATAATTTTTTTTCCCTCGCCTTCTTGGCGAGCAGAGAGGGGAGGGTTGAGCAGGTACGCACGGAGGAGCAGGAGGGAGAAATGAGACCCTGTTCCATTGACAAAATTGATTGGAGTTTATTGTCCTACTTTTGTGACGTCTCTTTTGTGTCTCTGTAGACTCTGGTCAAGTTAAATCCCAAACTGAAGCCCATGCTCGACATGATCCAAGCCAACAGGTCCAAATGGGAGGAGTTGAACAACAAGCGGCAACACGACGAGCACAGTGTTTCTGCCCCGGCGAGCCCCTTGGAGCCCGTCGGCTGCAAGGCGTCCAAGACGGGCGGCTCCTCCCCCTGCCGTAGCAGCAGCGCGGACCACGCGGCGGCCTCAACACCGCTGGGTTAGTGAGCTTCTTATTGAGGTCTCTCTTCCTCTTACGGCCTGCGACTTGTGCAGAGGGGGTCTTCAGACCCTCTTGCTCCTCTGAGAAGAGCGGAAAAGCTGCCGGAGGTGTGTGAAGGTTGTCACAGTGGCATGGCGGACTTCTGTCGTGCGGCCATTGCACGAAGACCGAAGAGCGGGCGCCTGCGCGACGGATGTTTTTTGTAAATGTGTACATACTGTCGGCTCCTGAAGAGCGCGTTGCGTTCGAGTGCTGTCACAAAACTGTGGATTGTGGTGTGGCCGTAGAAGGATGATGTGTTGCCGGAGCGGCCCCGCTTGCTCCACTTCCTTCCCTCCTGTGCCTTGTTTGAAACATTCTCCATGAAAAATGCATGGCCTCCTTTGACATGGACATTGTAGAAAATGGCACCCGTGATGGAGTTTTTTTTTTTTTTTTTCTCTTTTAACAATTGTTTTGCCATTTTCCACCACCGCGAGTTGATTTACCATAAAACAGTCAAGATGGTAATGAAAGTCAGACTTTTCACAACAATGTGGCATTTTCCAGTTTGGAAAATGCCACATTTTCCAAACTGGAAATAGATTTTGAAATCCATTTAATATTTCGAGAATATAACACTTGTCACGTGTAACAGCCCAAGATGCTACAAGATGGCGCTAAATCCATAGCTCACAGGAGAAGTCGTCAGTGGCAGTGAATGAAAAGTGAGAATCGGAAACAAAAATGGCAAATTCAAGAAGGCATATCTTTTCCAACCCAATGTTGTTGTGCAAACTCTAACCCAACAGTCGATACCGATAGTTGGGTTATGCAGTCAATGCATTTTGTTTTATATCGTGGTGGGGGCTTGCTTATCTTACCCAACAGATGGATTCATAATTGAATCCAGTGCTGGTAAAATGAACCCAACTTCTGACGCAGATGCCATTCAACCTGCTCATTTAAAAATACACGTACATATATTTTGATTCAAGTTGTTAATATTTAGATTACTTTTATGACACACTGACCTCTGTTGTTGGTAGGGCGTCGCCCGCGCTCCCTCTACTGAGCAGCGGCCACAGTTCCGATCACATCTGTAGAATGTCTCTAAATTAAATTCACAAAAACGTTTATGATTTATGATGATGACGTATAAAGGCAAAATCAGTGGGAGTGGGGGGTGTCCAAATACTTCTGGACTGAACTAAATCTAGACCCAATCTTCCCCAATAATGAAAAAATACACATAAAACACACTGATTCTCTCTCTCTCTCTCTCACACACACACACACACACACACACACACACACACACACACACACACACACACGCAAAATGTGCCTTGGTGAACTTGCTGTGTATTCCTGCTCAAGTAAGCCATTTAATCTCATAGACTGATTTTTGCATTTATTTCTCTGACATTTGGCCTTTTTAACTCCTCACTATTTCTTCTGACTTCTGTCTTTTCACGTCCAAGGATGGCTCTGATTGACTCAGCTTTTGTTGTGGTACTGAAGTACCCAACGGGTCACAAAGCCAGTCTTTACCCTTAAGTAGTAGTTTACGTTGTTGCCTTATGACTTGTGTTGTTTTGTTTTTGTTTGTTTTTGAGTGACCTTGTGCACCTTGCCAGGCATGGTTCTTAATGTGAGATTTTCATTGAAGAACATTTAAGTTGCATGTTTTTAATAACTCGTGTGTTGCATTCCGAGACAACTCTGAGGATGTAGCAAGCGTGGGAGCCTAACGAATACCTCGGATTCCCGGACGAGCGCATGTCTTCAATTGTATTGCATGAGGTTGTGTTGATCATAAATACCACAGTTCTATTTTTCTATCAATCCCTTTCCCCTAATTGTGTCGGGGGGGTTGTTGTTGTTTTTTTGTGGGGTGGGGGCTGGGGGGAAGATGTAAGTTACATGATGTAACGTGTTTCTTCTCTTTGTGTTTTTGGACTTATTTAAATGAAAGAATAAGCCTGGGCATGATGACGCTGTAAGCAATGTTTCTGGATTTCTGTACTAAACTTTGAATAAACATGATGCTGCTACATGGCCTGGATTTGGCTTCCTTGATATGAGACTGCTCACAGTTTCTCTCAGTGACGTGCTGCCCTCGTGTGGGCAAAATTTGACTTGCTCCCGAAAAACTCAATAAAATGTGAATGACAAGCCAAAAAAAATCACGCTGTTCAACAGAAATGTTGAATCAGAGATGGCATTATGTGTCCCAAAATTGGATTTTGACACAAAATGACTTTTTTAGGCACATCGGGTTTTATTTATTTTTTGTTTTTAAGTTTGAGCAAAAAAAGTTTGAGCAAAACAAATTTTACCGTGTGTTGTAATTTACAGCTATGTTGCAGTAAATATAATCCACCTGTTGCTGAACGTAACTCTTCATTTATAAATATTAACAATTTTACAGTAGTATTTTATCAAGGAAAAAAACGACCATGTATAGGAAGGCATTTTTAGCCGAAAAAAAACGACCATGTATAGTAAGGCATTTTTAGCTGAAAAAAACGACCATGTATAGTAAGGCATTTTTTAGCCGAAAAAAACAGCCATGTATAGTAAGGCGTTTTTAGCCAAAAAACGACCATGTATAGTCAGGCGTTTTTAGCCGACAAAAAAGACCTTGTATAGTAAGGCATTTTTAGCCAAAAAACGACCATGTATAGTCAGGCGTTTTTAGCCGAACAAAACGACCATGTATAGTAAGGCGTTTTTAGCTGACAAAAATGACCATGTATAGTAAGGCATTTTTAGCCAAAAAACGACCATGCATTGTAAGGCGTTTTTAGCCGAAAAAAACGACCATGTATAGTAAGGCGTTTTTAGCCAAAAAACGACCATGCATTGTAAGGCGTTTTTAGCCGAAAAAAACGACCATGTAGAGTAAGGCGTTTTTAGCCGAAAAAAACAACCATGTAGAGTAAGGCGTTTTTAGCCAAAAAAACGACCATGTATAGTAAGGCATTTTTAGCCGAAAAAAACGACCATGTATAGAAAAGCGTTTTTAGCCGAAAAAAAACGAACATGTATAGTAAGTCAATTTTAGCCGAAAAAAACGACGATGTATTGTAAGGCATTTTAACCCGAAAACGACCATGTACAGTAATGCGTTTTTAGCCAAAAAACGACCATGTATAGGAAGGAGTTTTCAGCCGAACAAAACGACCATGTATAGTAAGGCGTTTTTGGCCAAAAAACGACCATGTATAGTAAGGCGTTTTTAGCCGAAAAAAACGACCATGTATAGTAAGGCATTTTAAGCCGAACAAAACGACCATGTATAGAAAGGCGTTTTTAGCCAAAAAACTACCATGTATAGAAAGGCATTTTTAGCCGAAAAAAACGCCCATGTATAGGAAGCGTTTTTAGCCGAAAAAAACGACCATGTGTTGTAACGCATTTTTAGCCAAATTAAAACGACCATGTATAGTAAAGCGTTTTTAACTGAAAAAAACAACCTTGTATTGTAAGGCGTTTTGAGCCAAAAAACGACCATGTATAGTAAGGCGTTTTTAGCCGAAAAAAACGACCATGTATAGTAAGGCATTTTTAGCCAAAAAACGACCATGCATTGTAAGGCGTTTTTAGCCGAAAAAAACGACCATGTAGAGTAAGGCGTTTTTAGCCGAAAAAAACAACCATGTAGAGTAAGGCGTTTTTAGCCAAAAAAACGACCATGTATAGTAAGGCGTTTCTAACACAAAAAACGACCATGTATAGGAAGGCTTTTTTAGCCGAACAAAACGACCATGTATAGTAAGGCTTTTTTAGCCGACAAAAATGACCATGTATAGTAAGCCATTTTTAGCCAAAAAACGACCATGTATTGTAAGGCGTTTTTAGCCGAAAGAAACGACCATGTATAGTAAGGCCTTTTTAGCCAAAAAAACGACCATGTATAGTAAGGCGTTTTTAGCCGAAAAAAACGACCATGTATAGTAAGGTATTTCAACCCGAAAAAACGACCATGTATAGAAAGGCGTTTTTAGCCATAAAACGATCATGTATAGTAAGGCGTTTTTAGCTGGAAAAAACGACCATGTATAGTAAGGTATTTCAACCCGAAAAAACGACCATGTATAGAAAGGCGTTTTTAGCCATAAAACGATCATGTATAGTAAGGCGTTTTTAGCCGACAAACATGACCATGTATAGTAAGGGGTTTTTAGCCAAAAAAAACGACCCTGTATAGTAAGGCGGTTTAACCCGAAAAAAACGACCATGTATAGTCAGGCGTTTTTAGCTGGAAAAAACGACCATGTATAGTAAGGTATTTCAACCCGAAAAAACGACCATGTATAGAAAGGCGTTTTTAGCCATAAAACGATCATGTATAGTAAGGCGTTTTTAGCCGACAAACATGACCATGTATAGTAAGGGGTTTTTAGCCAAAAAAAACGACCCTGTATAGTAAGGCGGTTTAACCCGAAAAAAACGACCATGTATAGTCAGGCGTTTTTAGCTGGAAAAAACGACCATGTATAGTAAGGTATTTCAACCCGAAAAAACGACCATGTATAGAAAGGCGTTTTTAGCCATAAAACGATCATGTATAGTAAGGCGTTTTTAGCCGACAAACATGACCATGTATAGTAAGGGGTTTTTAGCCAAAAAAAACGACCCTGTATAGTAAGGCGGTTTAACCCGAAAAAAACGACCATGTATAGTCAGGCGTTTTTAGCTGGAAAAAACGACCATGTATAGTAAGGTATTTCAACCCGAAAAAACGACCATGTATAGAAAGGCGTTTTTAGCCATAAAACGATCATGTATAGTAAGGCGTTTTTAGCCGACAAACATGACCATGTATAGTAAGGGGTTTTTAGCCAAAAAAAACGACCCTGTATAGTAAGGCGGTTTAACCCGAAAAAAACGACCATGTATAGTCAGGCGTTTTTAGCTGGAAAAAACGACCATGTATAGTAAGGCGTTTTTAGCCGAAAAAAACGACCATGTATAGTCAGGCGTTTTTAGCTGGAAAAAAAGACAATGTACAGGAAGGCGTTTTTCGCCGACAAACATGACCATGTATAGTAAGGGGTTTTTAGCCAAAAAAAACGACCCTGTATAGTAAGGCGTTTTAACCCGAAAAAAACGACCATGTATAGTAAGGCGTTTTTAGCCAAAGAAACGACCATGTATAGTAAGGCGTTTTTAGCCGAAAAAAACGACCATTTATAGTAAGGCATTTTTAGCTGAAAAAAACGACCATGTATAGTAAGGTGTTTTTTATGGGAAAAAAAACGACCATGTATAGTAAGGCGTTTTTAGCCGGAAAAAAAGACCTTGTATAGTAAGGCGTTTTTAGCGAAAGAAACGACCATGGATAGTAAGGCGTTTTTAGCCAAAAAACGACCATGTATAGTAAGGCATTTTTAGCCGAAAAAAAACCACCATGTATAGTAAGTCGTTTTTAGCCAAAAAACGACCATGTATAGTCAGGCATTTTTAGCCGAAAAAAAACGACCATGTATAGTAAGTCGTTTTTAGCCAAAAAAACGACCATGTATTGTAAGGCGTTTTTAGCTGGAAAAAAAGACCATGTATA